CCGCCATCTGTATCTTTCCCGGTTCAGTAGGTACCGCGGGTACAGTCCGGCGAACCACCATAGCCACGGCGTTGGGATGGTACGCCAGACCGGAAAGAGAACCATGAGAGCCGCGTGGGCGGTTTTGGACAAGGCTGCCTCAACAGCACCGAGGCCGACGGGTATCAGCCGACCTCTAACCCCCACCCGGGAAGGGCCTATGTCGAGTTGAGCCAAGCCATACATTATGAGGGCATTACTGCAATAAAGGAGAAGCGACGCCTCTCGTAGAAGGTCGTTGCCGTGTCGCAGATGTTTGGGGGCTATCTCTGGTCCATTAGTGGCGCCATGGTTGAGTCGGGGAGCCGGACAGCCGGTGTTTGGTGGGTGACTGCTTGGGATAATCGCTCTTGATTGGTTGGTCCCACGAAGCTCGCGAAGTCTTCCTCTGATTGTTACTCCGTTTGGAAACAATCTCGCTAACAGCCAGAACAAAGGGGGTCGTTTTCGACCTCCGACGCTTATTTTTTTGGCGCCTCAAGACGAGTGTGGACGAACGCCGCTGAGTTGGGCTGCAGAGAATGTACATACGGAGGCTGTTGAAGCTCTGTTATCCGATGGCCGAGTAGATCTAAACCAACAAGACAGCAATGGTCGAATGCCGCTCACTTACACTGCAGAGAGGGACCATATAGAGATTGTTAAAACTCTGTTATCTGATGGCCGGATTGGGCCAGACGTAAAAGACGAACTTGGTATAACTCCTCTCAGATACGCTGCAGAGGAAGGTCTTACAGAAATTATGAAAACCCTGTTATCCGATGGCCGAGTTGATCCAGACCGACAAGATGACATTGGTAGAACGCCACTATTTTATGCTGCATAATATGGCGATACAGAGCTCGTTAGAACTCTATTATCTGATGGCCGAGTTGATCCAGACCGACAAGATCGCTATGGTCAACGCCGCTGAGCTACACTGCAGAGAAGGACCATATAAAAATTGTTTAACTTTGTTATCTGGTGACGGAGTTTATCCAGACCAACAAGATAACAATGATCGAACACTACTGAGTTTAACTGCAGAGAGGGGCCATGCTGAGGTTGTTAAAACTCTTATATCCAATGGCCAAGTTGATCCAGACCGACAAAACAGTAATGGTCAAAAGCCGCTATTTTACGCTGCATGGCTTGGCCACACTGAAATTGTTAAACTCTGGTATCTAATGGCCTAGTTGATTCAGACCGACAAGATCACTATTGTCGAACGCCGCTGAGTTACGCTGCAATGTGTGGCCCTACCGGGATTGCTCGGATTAAGCTGTCTAGTAAAAAAAAAAAAAAATAATACAACGAAACTCAAATGCCGCTAAGTTACGGTAATGGCCGAGTTGATCCAGACCGACAAGACATCTATGGCCGAACGCCGCTGCATTTCGCTGCATTCAATGGCCATACAGAGGTTGTTAAAGCTCTGTTATGTGATGGCCGAGTTAATCCAGACCGAGAAGCCAACAATGGCCAAACGCCACTAAATTTGGCTGCATTCAATGTCCATACAGAGGTTGTTCAAGCTCTGATATATGATGGTCGAGTTGATCAAAGTGCGAGCTAGTGCATGGCAAAGTGTAGTGGCAAGTGAGAACGATAAGACAGCAAAGCTAGGCAATAGGATGTCCTTGATATTATGCCGCCGACGAGGGCTTGGTGCCTACTCCAAGAAAGTGCGGCGGTAGTCTATTTGAGCATGTGTCATAGTGTTAGGTCAGGTAATGAAGGGCTGATTTTTGCATTTTGCAGTACTGGAAGACCTGGTTAGAGACGTGAAACAGCAAAGCAGACAGAGGTAGTGAGGACCATAAAGAAGTCAGTGGCTAGAGAGGATGATCCGGTTCAAGCATTCGTCCTTCTCCCTTCACTTCAAGTTATTACCACGCGCCAGTCAGCCTGCCACCGGTTAGAGAGATCCTGTCTCAACACCACCAGGTATATCTCCCCATCACCATCCTTCCAGTCATTGTAATGGTAGACTTGGTCTGGTGCAGGTAGGGATCGACAATGGGTCAAATGAGTTAAATGAGAGCCTCTGGCTATGTGGAGTGCACAACGAGGTCAATCAATATGTGTATCAATCTTTCTTGGTCCTCAGTGTCATGGTGTTAGAGGAAGGACCAAGAGATGTCCTTCATCGTGTCTGGGCAGCTTCCTTTATGGAATCCTCTTGCCCTTTGTGAGTGCCTCGCCCTCCCGGGGGTTTCAGAGGCTCGTCCTCCTGCCTCTGTCATCTGGCTCATTCGGTCGTGTGGCTCCAAATATCTTCCAGGGTCAACGACATATTTGTGTTGCACACAATCATTCTCTCTCTGGTGTCCCTTGTGTTGGCAGTCGGTGATACCCCTTTCCTTGGACTGCCTTGTCCGTGTGACACATCACCTCACCACCGGTTTCACACACCGTGACTACTCTGTTGTAGATGAAACCAAAATTTTCGACAAAAGTTAAAGTTCTAGATGGTTAGGTTATGGACTCTCGGCGAGCTTTTGTTAGCCACTGGCGAACATCAAGCCAAAAGAGGATTCCCTCTCAATAGATGTGAAGTTGGTCACCATACAAGTCTCGTAGCCAGCTCATGTGATCATTTAACATAGAAGTTGAGGGCTCTCCTTTATTAAGGGTCTTTGTATACTCGGTCGAGACATCTGCTGTCAACAACTGGGGAACCGCCTTGGTGCTGCTTGTGTGGCATTGCGGTTAGGTGTTGTGACTCAACATTGACAAGGGCAGAGTGGAAGCCCATAAGTGGTATTGAGACCTGTCGTCCTGTTTGTGGGGTTGTGAGTGGATGGGTTTAACCCTACTTGTGACTTTCAACCCAAAGCGTTGGTCTTTTGGCTGCCGTGGGCGGTCAGATGACAATGAAAAAGCTTTGGTGGCTCAGATGGGAGTTTGAATACAAAGTTGAGCTGCTCCTGCCATGTGTGAGTGCTGAGTGGGTCTAGGGCAAAGTTGGGTTGATGATAATCGAGAAGGAAGAGTGCATTAGCGCTTAGTCCACGTTTGCGGCGATGCCCGCGCAAATTTACAGGGGGTAGTGGCAAGTTTTTTAGGTCAAAATGGAGCCGAATATGATAAGGTTGTCGGATCAAAATTGAGTGATTGAGTACTCTTGATTGATGAAATTGAAATTGAGAGGCAAAACTTCAGCTCACTTCTTTGTACACAAACGTGCAAGGAGACAGCATGTAGCCATCTTCTTATCACTTGGTGTTCAACTAGATGTGATCAACCTGTCTTCTAAAATTTCTGCTTGTCTGGACCCCTTCTTTCTCTTTTCCTTTTTGTACGTATTCGACAGGCAGCGTCGTTGCTTGTGGTTTCATGGCTTTAGCTCAAGACAGCCACATCTGCGGAATAAGAGGTTCAAATTACAAAAAAAAAAAAAAAACTGGCGCATACTAAGACACTTTATTGACTGTTTAATGGTTCCAAACTCTATGGCACACAGGATATTTTGAGGTTATCAGAGGATCAAAGGCAAAGAATTTGAGGTGAACTATGATGATGTTTAATCAGCCTCACCATGACAAATCGAAAGAATTAAGTCGACCATAGCTTCATGTAAATGACAAAAGGTTCCAGTTCAACGAGAAGTATTGTTGGCTGTGTCTCAGTATTTACTTGTGTGTGGTACTATATGTATCTGGTTGTGGTGCTCTACCTACCGGCTAGGCCAATACATACACAATACTTGAACATACTTGTGGTGGAGTGGTAACACATGGCTAACCTAGTGTCTCGTATCCCAATCACGGGATCAGTTTCCTGGGAGCTCGAGGAGCTGTCTATGCTTTCTCTTTTCCACGGGTTCGAATCAAATTGAGGGGAGAAGGCCATCCTTTTGGGAGGGCTGGCTGGGCTTTGGGTCTGTCCCATGTTGTGGTTTTGGAGGGGAAAGGTGAGACACTCAACATCGCTGTTTGCAACTAACGATTACCTAAGACTCGCTGGGATCGAGAGCGTCCAACCGGAGAACAAAGGATGTGCTTAAAGTGATGTAGACGCTATATTTAGGTCTCTGTCACTGGAGAAGAGGGGGTGTTATCAGTCAGTACTCAACCTGCTTTGTCCATCCGACCCAAAGGCTCCGTTTGTTTGGCGTAAGATACCACGAAAGAGCGCTTCTTTTGAGCTCGATTTCGTTCAAGTTGGCTGGATTCTATTGGTTACCATTAGTCCCTCCTATTGAGGATCCAAGAGCTCAAGGTGTTCCACCTACAAACTTGTGAGTCTTATGACAGGCCTTTCGTTGATCGGCGATGGTTTCGGCTCCTCAGCAATGGCAAAACAACTACATATCTGTCGGCTGGTTCTCGGTGTTGACGTCAGGACGTTTTGGAACAAGGTGTGAAGCAAACAGAAGTTACGACGGTGAGGTTAAATCCTGCATGTGAGAAGACGAACTGCCGGCTTGGCTGTGTAACGGTGTATTGTATCATATATCACCCTTGAAAAGGGCTGGTGTAAAATAAATCACGATAACATTTATAATCTATGTATAATTGAAAGTTGAGTAGCCATTGATGTAAAATTACTTTCTCTGCTGGTATTACGCGGACAATTGTCGTTTGAATGAGACAATCTGCCTGTTTTCTCCAGAGACTGACTGTTCTGCCCTTACCTTCCTTAACCCTTGCCCTCGGTAACATTACGGTACCATACACCCACCTCGTCTCCACCGGTCCTGGGACTCTTGACATCATTTCTCCCGTCCATCGATACGACCTCCCAATTTCCAGCTGTGTAACTCACAAGCACTTAAAAGCATACCTGACCCATTCATCTCACCGCTCTCGTTTCCAGAGGGGTTCATCCTGCCCTTCTTGAGAGCCTGACTGTTCACCGTCCACTTCTCGCGTTTACATGGAACGTTAATAACATCAGTTCACTGATCAACACGTTTCCACAAACCATCAAAACAAACTGCAGGCGGCTGGCTCTACACCTCGCCTATAACCACCACAATGCCCACAACAACGGAGGGTTTGATCCCCAACTGGTTTCCCCCGAATCGAGAGAACTATGACTTGATTCTCACTCTCTGGAAATTGTTCCCCTTCGTACGCCATCCCACCCATCCCCCCTTTTCTCATCAGCCACCACCCCTCGCTAACCTCCCTCCCAGTTCTCCTCCCTTCAATGGCTAATCCCTTGGTACGGCATGGGCAAAACCTCCATCCCTCACTCCCCGCTCAACTTGCCAGGCCGCCTCGCCTGGCTAACAATGGAAATCCCCGGCTTCCTGACCCTCCTCTATCACCTCTACGTCCTCCCCTCTCAACTGCCCCTTCCTCCCTCCCCCGACGGCTCCCTCCCCTGGCAAACACAAACCCTCGCCTTCCTCTTTGTATTTCATTATATCTACAGGGCTATCCTCTTCCCTTTCTTACAGCCATCCATGTCGCCGGTGCACTTGTTCATCTGGCTCCTCGGCGTGACATTTCAACTGGTGAATGGTACCGTCATCGGCGCCTGGCTGGCTGGCTATGGGCCGATGTATTACAACCATTCCCCTGCACAGACGCCTATCTCACAGTTCGCGCTGGGTCTCATAGTATTTTACCTCGGGCTGGCAAGCAATTACTTCCACGACGACCACCTCCGCGAGATCCGGCGCCGCGTCCTCCGCCGGCAGCAGTTAGCTGCTCAGAAGCCAGATGACAGCCCCGACGCGCCAAAGTCAGTGGAGAAGCACTATGAGATACCGCAAGCGGGATTGTTCAAGGTGGTGCTGTATCCGCACTATTTGAGCGAATGGATTGAGTGGGTTGGGTACTGGATCGCGGCGGGGTGGGGTTGTGTGCCGGCGAGGTGTTTTGTGTTAAATGAGGTTACGGCGATGTTGCCTAGGGCGGTGAGGGGACGGCAGTGGTATGTGGAGCGATTTGGAGAGGAGACGGTTGGGAGGAGGTGGGCTGTTATTCCGGGGGTTTGGTAAGGGGGAGATGGGGGTTGCGTACTTAACACTACGATAAGTTTCTTTATGCACATCAGGAATACTAATTGAGAAGAATTGATGGTTTATGATGCGTAGCAGAGATATATATATTCACCCATCCACCCTATCCATTCATCCATCTACCTTCCCCTCCCTCTCCCAGACCTCTCTCTCTTCCATGTATCTTTTCTCCTATTCCATTCTTCCAAATATCGCAGAGTCAACATAACACAAGAACTTGTAACAACAAGCGAAAAAAAAATTTTTTTTTACACCGCCGAGGAGGTATACAGACTCCGAGCTTTGATGTGATGTGTGAATAGTTGAGTAGTCTTTAAAATGTACGATGAAGACAGACAGAGAGAGATGAGAGATGTGAGACAGACGTTTGCATGATATGACTGATGATGAATCCATCCATCCATCGATGATGAGAAAACAAGAGAAAACCAGAAACACATTCATCCATCCGTCCATCCATCCCATGTTAACGCCGCAGTGCCAACCATGCCGTCACCCGGAGTTCCTTATCGTTCCAGTCTCGCCTGAAGGCGCGGCGCCGTTTTTCGTCTGTCTTGGGACCACTGTGGTTACACAGCAGTATCTTCGACAGACTTAGCGCTCCTTACCAACCAACCAATCAATCTACCCTCCTCTAAATCTCACTCATCTATCCTTCCATCCTCCCCCTCCTCCATTATCCTCTTACTCTCCTCCGTGCCCTCCCTCGCCGGAGCAGGCGGGGGCGGCGCGGGCGGGGGATTCCCGCTTCCATTCCCCGCGCCCTTCCCCGGGATGGGAATAATGCCCCCCAGCCCAGGCTTAACCGACTCGGACTCATCCGGCTTGGGCACACTCATCGGGCCAGGGGGGACAGGGATGCGTCCCTCGAGCTTCTCGCCGCGAATAACCTTCTCCACCTCGCTGCGATCCAGCGTCTCGTACTCGACCAGGGCCTTGGCGAGCAGGTCCAGCTCCTTGCGGTGCTCAAGCAGGAGGGCGCGGGCGCGGGCGTACGATTCATCCAGGACACGCTTCACCTCGGCCTCGACCATGGCGCGGGTCTCGGAGGAGAGGGAGTTGTAGTTGCGGAGGTACTCGACGGGTCCCAGGCGCTGGGACATGCCTAGGCGCGCGACCATGTTCCAGGCGGTGCGGGTTGCTTGGTCGAGGTCCTGCAGCGTGTTGGTTAGTATACGCTCTTGACATGAGAGCTGTGAGGAGACTTACAGCGCTGACACCAGAGGTCACAAGATCATGACCATAAACAATCTCCTCAGCGACCTTGCCGCCCATAGCACGATCGATCAAACCAAGATAATCCTTGACCGACCAGGCATACTTATCCATCTCAGGTAAGAAAGCCGTATGACCCAGCGACCTACCACGCGGCAGGACAGTCACCTTGTAGAGCTGGCCGGAGGTATCCTTCGAGTAGTAGGCGACGAGAGCGTGACCGGCCTCATGGTAGGCCGTCATCTCCTTCTCCTTAGCGGTAATGACCATGCTCTTGCGCTCGGCGCCCATGATGACCTTGTCTTTGGCCCACTCAAAGTGCGCCTGCGTGACAGCATTGGCCTTGTTCTTGCTCGCGTAGATCGCAGCCTGGTTGACAATGTTCTCCAGCTCGGCACCAGAGAGACCGGGCGTGCGCTGGGCGATGTGCTCGAGGTTAACGTCCTTGCCCATCTTGATCTTGCTGGCGTGGTGCTTCAGGATGGCAATGCGACCGCGCACGTCGGGCAGGGGCACAACGACCTGACGATCGAAACGACCAGGACGGGTAAGCGCCTTATCCAGAGACTCGGGGAAGTTGGTGGCAGCCAGGATGATGACACCGCTGTTCTGGGCGAAACCGTCGAGTTCGGTGAGCAGCTGGTTCAGCGTCTGGCGGACGTAGGTAGCATCGCGGGAGTTGCGGCGGCCGCCGATGGCGTCCAGCTCGTCGATGAAAACGATCGAAGGAGCCTTGGCCTTTGCCGCCTGGAAGAGCTCACGAACGCGCTTAGCGCCAACGCCGACGTAAATCTCGTCGAACTCAGAACCGGACATGAAGAAGAAGGGAACACCAGCTTCACCAGCGACAGCACGAGCCAGAAGGGTCTTGCCAGTACCGGGAGGACCGACGAGCAGGACGCCCTTGGGCAGCTTGCCGCCCAGGGCGCTGAACTTCTCGGGGTTCTTGAGGAACTCAACAAGCTCCTGAAGCTCTTCCTTAGCCTCGTCGCAGCCGTGCACGTCAGAGAAGCGGGCCTTCTGGTGCTCAGCCTTGGCCTCGATGTCGGTCAGCTTAGCGCCAGGACGCTTGATGCTGGACAAGCCCTCGACGACCATGGTGATGACGACCATGCTGATGTACGCGCAGAGACCGAACCACAGGAAGAACTTGATCCACCGAAGCAAGGCTGAACCGGTAGTCTCGTCGACGATGACGTGCAGCGGACCGCTCTTCGTGCCATTGGGAGCCTGGGCCGAGAAGGCCGTGTTGCCACCGGTGCGATGAGCCGCGACCGCTTGACCGACGGCCTGGAGCGTGCTGGGGCTCAGACCGGAGCCATAAGCATTCGAATCAACCGTAGCACCAGTACCGGAACCAGCAGAAGCGTTGAGCATAGCCAGAGCCTGACGATAAGCCTCATCGGTCGCCTCGTTGGTGGCAAAGCGGCCTGATTTGTCAGCATGCGACGGAGCGAGAGAGTTTCGAGTGTGTTACGCACCGGTCTGATAACGTTCGACGACAATGGCAGGGAGATTAGCCTTGAGGAGGAGCTGGTAGAACGACGCCTGAGCCGAAGCGCTGTTCGGGTTGCGGTTCGCCGCGGCCTCACGGGCGGCCAGGAGGTCGCGCGGGATGCCGCCGTGGTGCAGGGAACGGCGCTGGACGTTGCGAGAGACACTCAGGGGCTGGATCCAAGAGAACTGCTGCATGCGACTGGGCTGGTAGGTGCTCATGTAGCGGCAGCCGGGCAGCGTCGACAGCGGACGGGACATCAGAGCCGCATACGACCGACGGAACAGCGGGTTCGCCATGGCGAGAGAGCGGGACGACATGTGGGAGATTTCCGAGAAGATGTTGACCGGGCTAGCGTTCGCTAGACCGCGGTCGAGGAAGCGCGGGGTCGGGACAGGGGCGTCGCGGAGGAAGTCAGGAAGATGAGATCTCACGGCCGCTTCGACCAGGCCGGCAGCGGCGACGACGGGGGCGGCAGCGGCGGGAGGGGCATTCGCCGAGTTAAGATGCTTGCTGGGGGCTGGCGAGCTGCATTTTGGGCCTCTGAAGGGGATGGCCAGCGTGTTGGCGAGTGATGGCCACAGGTCCGAGGTCGCTGATGCAATGCTCTACGAGGGAAGTGGTCAGCGTTGGGCGATCACCCAAACGGCAAACGGCAGCCGGGCGGCGGGACGAAGGGAAGGAAAAAAGACAAAAAGGCAAAAAGACAACTACTCACCGGCAGCCCACTTGCGTGGAAAGCCATCATAGAGTTGGGGTCCCGCGCCGTGCGGGAGTGTGGGTTGCAGGCTGCGTCTGCTTTTCGAATATGGTGAGAGACGGAATGGTGACAGGAGTAGATGTTTCTTGGTCTGGTCTGCGTGGCAGAGCGGCAGAGCCAGCACTGAGCACTCAGCAGGCGGCGCCGGATGATGCAAGGTCCGCCAGCGAATGTTGGGGAAGAAAGTGGATTGGCGGATGATTCTCGGCCTTGGCGAAAACCATGCCGCCTTTGGCCACCCGCCCCACCTGCCCCAGCCTTGCCCCCAGCTCTACACGTGACTTGGCGTTGAGAGCGCTGATTCCGGACCGTGTCTTGGCGCGTCGTGGCAGCTGTCAGATGGATCTCAGGCTGTCAGACTCAGGTTGTGAAAGCCGGCTCAGCAATTGTATGGCAATCACTTACGTCCATCGGATTTCATTTTGTTTTGAATTCAATTCTATCTTCAATTTGAAGGGAAAGATTTTTCCAGGTCATCACGCAAGCCTTCTTATTCGTGATCACAACAATCATCCTCATGTCATAGTCAACACAAAACACAAAAGGCACCCCCATCATGAACCGCTCTCTCGAACAAACCCTCTTCTCCCTCATACCAACCCACACGGGCCCCCTCCCACAACAACTCCTCGATCTAGCCAGCTCCCTTCTAGCCCAATCCCGCCACCGCGCTGCCACACTCAAACCCGACGAGGAAGTCGCCCGGCCTTATGCCTGCGCCCACATCGCCTGCGAGCGCCTCAAGACCTCACTCAACCTGCCGCCCATCCAGCCCCGTCCCCCAATAGGACCCCGCAACTACAAGCGTCTGTATAACTTGTTGGACAATGTCCTGCCTGCGGGTAGCGTGACGCCAGGGCGCGTTAGGACGCCGAGTGCTAAGCTGCGTGAGCAGCAGGAGTATCAAAGGGAGCGGGAGTTGCAGGCGCAGTCGCCGTTGGCGAAGAAGACAAGGGTAGCTGAGACTGGGAGTCCAAGTAAAGCCCGTCCGCTTGGAGTGAGTCCGGTGAAGAAACGGTCTGCGGCTGGGAGTGATGTCCTTCCGAGGTGGATGCGTCCTACGCTACGGTTTCTGCTTTCACGAATCGGCCCAGCCCGGATAGGGCCCATCGTTGCAGCGGCACTTGATTCGATCGTCGGTCCCCATGGCAAGCGGACTGAGGACGACTGGGTACTAGCTAGGATGCCTGCTGTCCTTGGTGCGCTGTACATGTACGTGTGGAGGAGGGTAGTCTTAGCGGGGAGCAACTTGGGACGAGATCAGTACATCAAAATCAGCAAGCAGATCTTGGACGCTCTCGCCAGGGCTCGGGATGAGCTTGACCTGCCTGTAGAGGCCTGGGAGGACGGATGGCGTGAGATTAAGGGGAAGGACCTTGATGCGACTCTTCTCAAAGGCCATGAGAAGGGATGGTATGAAATGGACTGGGTTGGTGGTGTGAAAGATTTATTGGACCAAGGTGAAAGGCGGGATGTGGAAGAAGGGGAAGAACATGGTGAAGAGGAAAGGGAAGAGACCATCAAGATCCGCAAGCCTGACACCATGTTCCAGGAGAGATACGACTTCTTAAGCGAAGTCAAGCTCAAGAAGTATGACGAATGGAAGGCAGGCATCCTGCAAAGCATCAAAGCGATCCAAGCAGGCAAAGCTTGAGCATACCTATCCATTGATATCTAATCAGCCACTCCTCAAACCTTACAACGCCTTAATACTCTCCACAGCATCAACAATACTCTCCTCCAACCCAATCCACTCAAATCCGAGCAGTCTCCTAGTCGCGCTATTATCCCACCTAAACCTCTTATCCTCCGGCGGGATCTCTCCGGTCTTCAGTCCCTCCTCATCCGGCACGACCCCCTCAAACTCCGGAAACCTCTTCTTCACCACCCGCGCAATCTCCGCATTACTAAACTCCCCACTTACTACAAACAGCCGCTTCCCGCTCACCTCCTCCCCCAACTCCAGCCCCGCCTTAACATGCGCCCTCGCCACATCCCTCACATCCACCCAAATAATCGCTGCCCCCGTCGCCGGCGTTCCATTCGTCTTCCACCTCCCCTTGACCAGATCCACAATCCTTTCGTTACTCGTGTTCACCGCCTCGGGACTAGAGACATACTGCGCTTTGGCAAGCGGACCAAACACCATAGGCGGGTTGATTGTGACGAGATCAAACTTCCCTTTGCCCTCACCTGAGTTCACGAAGTCCCACGCAGCCTTCTCGGCAAGAGTCTTGCTTGCGCGGTAGGCGGTCGCAGGGGAGTTGTGGATGTCGGCGAGGGTGACAGGGTTCCAGGAGACTTCGGTGAAGGTGTGAGAAGGGTCGGTGACTTTCGCTTCGTCGATGATGGCTGCGAAGGAGGAGGTGATGACGACGCGGCGGACGGAGGGGGCGAAGCGGGTGATGGCGCTGAGGATGCCGGTCGTGCCGTTGACCGCAGGGGAGATTAATTCTTTTTGGGGGTCCTCTGCTCACAGAATCAGCATACATACAATCCGCTTAAGGAGATTGTTGGGAGGAAAGGGGACGTACTGAACTTGAAATGAAAAGGCGACGCGGTGTGCAAGACGACTTCGACATCGGAATGAGCGGCCACGACCTCGTCGAAGGCGTTGGGTTGCGCAATGTCGGACACGATGGCGACCGTTAGCGCGCCAGAGGCAGATTGCTCAGGATATGCGGCCCGGATGCGCGCTGCCTTGTCCTCGGAGCGGACGGTCGTGACCACAGTATGGCCCTTGGAAAGGAGCTGGTCGAGGATGTGGGCTGGGGATGGTTAGCGGGAGGGCCTTGCAACGCTTGGATAGATGACGGGTGAGATGATAGCCGGTATTCTGTACGATCATCTGGAATGAAATATGGCGGTAACTGGTGTGATACATACCAGCGATGAAACCTGAGCCGCCTGTTTAATACGCGTTAGCATTTGTCCTTCAAGCGTTCAGTGTGTTGCGAGAGCAATTGAGCTCACCTGTCAGAAGAACCTTGGTCATTTTTCTTTTGCTCTTCCCCGTATTTTCTCGAAGGACACGATCGTAGCAATTGTCGATCTCAAATAATAGGAACTTCTGATTTCCGAATGCGCAACGTATGCTTCAATTCCGGGACAGTTGTTTAAATATTTCTCCTCTTAATCATGAAGAGGATTACCCCCCCCCCACCCCCGCATCAACCCCTCCCCCTCACTGTCCTCGCAACCAACCCAGTGGAGCCCCGCGCCTTACACCCGGATTGTCTTGAACATCGTTCTCCTACTCCCTGTTACACCGAATCGCGTTTAAAATCAGTATCAATAATAATGTAAAATTACACCGTATAGTAGATGAAGGTCAATGTGGTTCCCGGTCAGGGGCAGGTGCAAGATTCGCAATGCAGCACGTCTCTCGCGCCATTGCTACATTTCGCGACATACTGGTAAAGTTTTCCATTCCGGGGGCGTTCGGAGATAAGGGGTTAGTTAGACTCCGATCCGGATAAACAGATTAAGATACTATGTTGCAATATCATGTCGACGTTGTGTCACCCGAACTACAGCTAACAAAGACGAGAGTTTTTGAAAGAACGAAACCGATACTTTTATTCAACAAGCTCTGACTCCAGTGGCACTATATAGGAGTAATTACGGGACCAATTCGAAGAACAACAATGTAATCTCTGTTGTTGTGTGCTGTGCTCTCATGTCATCCGTATCCTATCAACCCTGGTCAGAGCAGAAATCGTCCGGAGTAAACTACCTGAGTAATCGAATGGCTAAGTACACGCACGCCTTATACCCCTCCCACCCAGCCGACCATAATTGACAAGAACCCTACAGAACACCCAACAATTCCCCCCCTCCCCCCCAAACCCAAGCTAATGTATTCCCCCTTATCATAAGTTATCGAGGGAATCACTCCCCCAAATCCATCTTATCCGCTTGTCCCCCCTTATGCCCTCCCTCATCACCCTCCACCTCCCGTTCCTTCCTTTCCCTTTCCCTTTGCCTCTCCCTGCGCTTCTCCTCCTTCCATTTCCGAATCCTCTCCCTCAGCTCATCATCCGGCACAATGTCATCCACCGTCATTGGCTGCCGTGTATAGGGATCTTTTGGATCGCTCAGCAAGTGCTGCACGATGGTCGAGCGATCGACCACGTGCCTCGACGGCAGAATAACAGGGTCGTCCATGATAATACCCATAATCGGGTCCTCGAACTCGGGAGGCGCGTCATCAAAGTCCATGTCGGCCTGGTCGAGGCTCAACTTGGCTTGGTAGATCTGTTCAGAGAGCTCATGCCAGGCTTGTAAGTCCTCCGGCGGCTTGAGGCCCTTGCTGGAGAGAATCCGCGCAGTGGTTTCCATGGTAGTGGGGCTGTACGAGCGGCCGTCTGCGGCAACGGCCTCGATGAAAGCGGTGCTCTTGCGCAAGTTGAGGTAGATGTCGACGAGCTCGGGGAGCAGGGTCTTCGGGTTGAAGAAGTATTTTTCGGGGTTCTCGACCTTGAGTGTCTTGGACTTGGGGCCGGTCAAGATGTCGAGGTTGTAGTCGAGCATGCCGGCCAGGCGGTGCACAATCTCGGGCATGGTGAAGGAGTCAGTGATGGTTGTCGTGAAGAGCTTCATCATGCCGACAGTTTCGTTGGCGAGCTGCATGTAAGACGTTGCTTGGGCCTCGGCGGTGCGCAGGTCTTCCTCGGCTTTTTCACGGTCTTGCGAGGGCAGGTTCGGGTCCTTCAGCTTGACCTGCAGGTCGTGGATCTTGGGGAACTTGCTCAGGCCCTCGTCCAGCACGTATGTGGCGTCGTTCAGCAGCAGGTTGACAAAGCGGACGAAGAACGATCGGTTGGTCCTGTTCATGTTAGCAAAAAAAAAAAAAATTGAAATTGACTCTAAACTCAGAGAATACGTACTTGCTCGACTCAACCAGCTGGTGCCGGTACAGGTCATTGACCCAGACGCACTTAATAACCTGGAAGATCTCATAGCGAATATTAAACTTGTCATAAAACTGCGACGAAACGCCCGTCTGCTCGCACTCAATGTAGAACTTCATGATCGCATGGAGCAGGTAGTCGTTCGCGAACTTGGAGCTGATCAGCAGGTCGCCCAGGACGCCCTTCTTAAGGTGATACGTCGGCCATGTCCCGTGAGACAACAATGTCACGAGGGAAGACTTGAGATACGGGTTCTTGATGTACTCGGACGACTCCAGGAAGGTGATGCACAGCGCGATCATCTCATCACCAACGGCCGATAGGATGATTTGCGGGATGTACCGGAAGACAAACTTGAAATTGTCCACAATGTCCTGGAGTGCATATTCGGGGAGACAACGGAATGCTTCCGGCTGATCTTTGGGTAGCGGGAGAACAAGTTGCTTGTCCGGCGTGTAATCAGTCTGGCTGGCAACCCGAAGCAGCCAGACGGTCACATAGCGCATGAACTGCAGAGACCGGCTTTGCATCTTCTGCTCCAGTAGCACGCCTTCTATAGAGTACTTCAGGGCAAGTGCACGATCCAGCACGGTCTGGTGCCGCTTAAGCGCCTCGTCAAGCCGTCGGAGTTCATGAGGTCGGCTCAGCAACTTGGGGCGCTCGGCCTCCATCAGGGCGATATTCTTCTCGTAATACTTAATATCGCGCTCAAGGTTTTTGAGCTTCGAATTGGTCGCCTCACTGCCATAGTGGTGGGCTGCAAGGGTAAGGAAGAAGACCTCTGTGATGAAGTTGGTCTCTCCCTCGAGCTTTTGGGCGTAGAAAGCATCGGACCGTGCCTGGTCCGCATTAAGCTTGGTCTCGTCCTTGATATCGACCCGGGGGTTCTTCCGGAAGTAGTCGATGTCAATACGGCCAACCTTGGAGAAGGTGCTGTCCATAAACGGCTCGCAAAGGATGTCGAGAATGACGGTTACGTTCATCATGAACCCGTCCGACGCCACCTCGCGCGGGTCAACCTGCATGGCACGGCGCTTGTGGTTGACGTTCATGATGTAGGCGAACCAGTCCAACGTCTTGTTACGCGTCTGCGGGCTTGCCCGAATAAAAGCATTGATGATATCTTTGAGGTCATTCTGGTGCGCCGCAAGGGTCATCTGCAGAGCATTCTGGGAGGTCTGGATACGGCCCTTGTCCATGGTCCGGGGGCTGGCGAAGTAGACAGTAGTCACTTCCGGTTGTAAGGGCGATATCCTGAAGAAGGGGCCAAGAATCGTGTCTCTCTCGATATTCGGGGCTGATTGCGCCATCTGGAAGCAAGGGTGCTCTGCCAGCGCATTGAGCAGAGCGGGGAACTTGGAATATTTCAACAGGGCCTGCGAAGATTAACAATCCGAAAATCGAAACAACCCCTGGGACACACCTAGAGAAGGACTTACATTAACATAAGGTTTGTAATCATCATTCATGCTCATCGTAGAGAGCTTCTGGCTAATGTCGACCATAGCAGTGGTGAACAGCGGCGCAACCGTGTCGTCTTCAGGCATGCGGGTAACAGCTTCGCTGATAAAGTCCAGGTCCAAGCCGTCGTCGCTATCGAGATCGCGCAGTAGGTAAGGAACCAGCGTATCATGCTGGGGGTTCGGCTCGCGGCTGTACGTTTACACACAAATGATTAACCAACCGCGAAGACGAGAAGAGGGGAAAGGGTTTGCGCTTCCTCCGGAGCATACGGGTTAATGGCATACCTAAACAGCTCCGGCATAGTCAAGGCAAAGATGCAGTTGCTGAAGCACAACCGCCGGGCTTCTTTGAGCATAGCCTCCTTCTCAGGCGCAGGGCCACGGAGCAGCTTGAGCGCGCGGTTCACACGCTTCCAGCAAGGAAGAAGGTAATCAAATAGGGGCCGGTTATGTGGAATGGACGAGGCGCCCTCAACGATGGCTTGCTCTATCCTCTCGACCGACAGCTTGAGCGGAGCGCCCTCGTCGGCAAGCTCCTGGCTCAAGTTGGAGAGGAAGATGAGCTTGTGGCCATGGCCGTCGGCCGTCTTGTTCGGATCGACGGACACGCGAAAGATGGTCGAGAGGATGCGGTCGGAATAATCCTCGAAGGATTCCTCGCGAGGAGTCTGCTTGCGCGGGGGCGTTGTTGCTGCTAACCCATCAACCTCTGATGCTCGTCGTTTTGGTCGAGACTGGTGGCTGTCCATACTACCTGTTGAGCTCGGCGAGGATGCCGCAGGGGCAGGGGTAATACTGATTTGGGCGTGCTTTTCGGTCGGGGCAGCTGAGGGCTTCGTAACATCGCCGTTGCCGCCGCCCGTCTTATCATCCGAAGGCTTCGCTGCGCTAAGTCCGGCATTTAACGGAGTCCCGCTGCGCGGCGAACCTGGTGAGGAACCCGAAGGAGGAGGGCCACCAAGTCTGGCCAACCTCCTCAGGCGAATTTGTTCCATTGTCTCCTTGTCGGGGGCATCCGGCACAGATGCCGGTGGTCGGCTTGGATCCATGTTATGCGGACGTCAACGACGTGCGGGAGCGAGGCCGAGCTAATTGATGATTAGTAACAGGTACTTGGCAAGCCGTTGGGTCAGGCCGTGGGGGAAAGTCGTCGATATGGATCGCGGTCTCAGTCACGGGAAGAAAGAACAAAGGGAAATATTAACTGGAAGATGCCCAGGTGATATGTGAACTGGAAACCGACTGAAGGCAATGGAAGCCAAACGGGTGATCGATGCCGAAGCTCCAAGAGGCCCAAGAGGTGTCTGGGCTTTGGCGTGGTGAGCTCGCGGGATGGCGGGGCTGCATTCGCTGGCTTGGTCCAGGCAACAGAGCGCGGCTTGTCACGAACCCTGGTAAGGGTTCTTATCGATAAGAGGCTACACAGGCACCCGCGGGGCGGCTTGACCTCGTCACGCCAACAATGTCCAAACAGAGCCAACACAGAGACGGCTTCGGACCAGATTGCGTTGTGATTGGATTTGATCTTCAGTTATTATAGCTGATGGTCATTTGTCTCCATTTGAGCATCTTCAGAATTCCATTAATCCCATACAATCGATCATTGTAGGCTACCCGGAGGTAGGCATCATCCGTCATGGTGCCGCCGTCATGCCTGAGCCCCGTCCAACGCCCGTTTTTCCATACAGCAATGAAGCCCGTTTCCCGCTCTATCCCACAGCACGCCCGCTCATAACTCCGAGAATAATATGGTCCCAAAAAAACAAACAAGCCCATAGGTAGGTATTACCATGTCACAGCCGTGGGGGGTTTTCTCCTCTGCCAACACTCCCACGACGGTCGGCTAAATGGCGTGGCAGTCCTCCACTATCGGAGGAAGACGCGCCCCTCCTGGGAAGATTTCGACTGTTGTTACCATCTCTACCTCCGCGAGAGTCGGACGAGTTGTGAGGGCCTGAAGACCCTGAGCCGCCTGATGATCCCGAAGAGCTGTTCGAGCGCTGCTGCATGTGCCGGGTGATGTTAAGCAGCCAGTTAGTCTGCAACGTGAGGACGCCGATCTTTGCAGAAAGCTCGGCCAGTTGCTCATTAATGGCGGCCGACTGTTGCAGGAGGCTAAGGGACTGGTGGGCGTCGACGTCAAGCAGGCTCTTGCGGAGATCATCCATCTGGGCCTCCATACGCTCGAATTGAGCGAGCATGTAGTCTTCGGCAGATGCTGCTGCCAGAGTGTTGTTCTCCGCAATAGGGGGAAGCACGTCGAACTCGGAAAACGCAGCCATTGCTCCAGCAGGGGAGTCGACAACTTGCGCGCCAGCCATGTCTGACCTACGGTCACGGCGACGGCGATGGCGGAGTTCCAAAAGTTGGACCCGGCTGTTAAGGTCCTGCATCATTTTCATATCCTCAGCCCGCTGTTCCATGAGGCGACCGACAGCCTCGAACATGCATCCTTCTTGCTCATGCTCTTGAACAACCCGGCGCTTGCCGGAGACCTTGCAACCCGCTGCGCGCCACTTGCAATTAGTCTCCCCTTCGGGGCAAACCTGAGCTTTATGCATCTCCAACAGAGGACGTAAAACGACTCCTTGACACTGAGGGCAGTCAGACGTGGCACCGGTACAGTCGGTATCGTAGTGAGCCTCAAGCTCTGAAACCAGCACAATCTTGTCGCAGTATTCACACGGCACCTCTTGGTGCATGCACCCGTTCTCAGGTAGCGCGTCGCGACGAGCAATCCTCTTGTTGCACTGGGGGTCTGGGCAGGGAACTAGTGTGAACTCGCAATGGCGCTCGTAGTGACCTTCGAGAAGATCGCGCGAGCATTCGTAGTCGCAACCGCGGTTCGGACACTTGACCTTGAGCCGATCCAGCTGGTCCTTAACGATCAGAGGAAGCGTGTGGTAATCGCGAGCCTTATTGAGCGGACGCCGGTCAATCGGGCACACGGGCTGGATCTCGAGGGCGCGGTTGATGCAGTCGGCACAGAAGGTGTGACCGCAAGAAGTCGTGATGGGAGCGTGGAAAGGAGTCCTGCAGACTGGGCACAAAAGAGTTTCGTCAACCGGTCCGACATATTCGAGAGCCTGGTAGTCGATCTCGAGCAGCCCGAAGTCTCCAGGTGTCGCGCAGCCGTTCGCCGCGTTGGGGTGCGGGGATGGGGCAAAGGCTTGCAGCGGAGAGGCTGGGCGAGTTGATGGCGCTGTGACTCCCTCCTCTGGGGTATTCGGCGGCGGCATCGTGGGAGCGAGTGTAGGAAGTTAAGAGCTGGTAAATTAGGCAAACGTGGGTTCAATAAACAATCGGAGACACATGAGTCTTAAGACTCTGGTTTGAGCTCTTGACTAAGGAGAGCTAGGCAAGGGGCAATTGGCGGGGAATGGTGTTTTGATTGTGGGAGAATAAGATGCGCAGAGAGCCGTACTGGCATTGCATCAATGCCTGCACGGTCAGCAAGCGAAGAAAAGGCTTGATGTTTACTGGAAAGCTGCGTTCCTCATTTCTTGCATCCAGCCACAAACAGAGAGTTACGGCTGTTCTGCTGGCGCGGGGGTGAGCGGTGTTGCTACGTGCACGAGGGATGCGGCTCGGACGCGAGCCAATGCCGAGGTGGGACTTCGGGACCAAAGGGACCCACCAAACAAAGCCAGATCCACCGGCCTCTCCTTCCTCTGAAGCAATAGATAATGTCCGACAAAGCTGTATTCAGACAGACAAAGAAGTATGTGGTACAAGTATATTGACTCATGATGTCTTGTAATTATCTCAACCTGCTGATGTGTATGGGTATCCTCATGATGGGCGACCCTAGTGCCGAAGCGTTTTGCGTTATCATTTACCACTGATGAAACAATCACAGTATGAAATTTTGAACGACGTTACCTATCGTTAGTCGGAAGACAAAGTTTGAACTCAAGACAGCTTGTAAGCTTGTGGATCAGAAAATCTGTCAATTGGCTTAGGATGGAGGTTAATATTCAGGTGTCAAGAGGTATCTTGACCTGGATGCTTGAGAATTGTTAATATCTTAGCTCTTGCAACACAAAATTCTGATGCTGGGCAATCTCCTATCCGCCCAACTTCGAGGAGTTAGAAAACAGATGTCAGTTTGCATATGGCGTTCATTCCTCGCCATTTCAGGTCTTGTATAGTCTAAAAAACCGAGATTTACACAGAGGAGCACTTGGCCTGGAACTTTTCCCTCTTTCGCTTGAAGAAGCTTCACAATACATATGTCTGACTTCTTCCTAATCTTCAACCCTAATGACGAGTGATGAAGAATTGTACTAATGTGACTGTCAGTACTCGTTGAATTATTGATGTTACTCAGAAGAGTTGGCACCTATATCGTCGTGTCAAGGATTTTGCGGAGCCAGTGATTGTTAGCTGTGCTGGCCACCGTCTACGAACCCTAACCCTCATTTACAACCACAGAATTGAGGGCTAACATGGAGCCTGAACCCAAGACAGGGGGTTTTCGACAGACGATGATTATCTATCATTTTTAAGGTATTTTGGTTTTGCACGTGTATAACGTACAAACTATGTCGTGATCATGCCTTGTTGCCAGTCAAGGCATCTTCTGAAGTTTGTTGTCTCCACGGACCTGTCGTAACACCCAAAAGAAGCATACACCATTTACATTGGGGGCCCAGTTATTTTGTGTCTCACCCCACAGTATCATCTTACTACAGGATGCTATATCTGTTCCAGTTCCCAGGATAGAGACATGTTGAATATAACTGTTCCAATTGAGAATCCAAAGCATTTGAAGCATCACACACAAAAGAGGCACTTGAGGCTGCAGGAGAAGGACGGAGGTCTCCGACAAAATTTGGAGCTAGCGCTGGCGTCAGGTGATGCCCAGACGGTCCAAAGGCAGCGGCCCGAGGAACTGCCCACCCGAGAAAAAGGTTCGTCAGCCTAAGACCAATGCGCGGCACGAACCATGTAACGACGCAAGTCAAGTGAATCGGAAGCTTTCCGGCCTCTCAACAAGCGTTGTCAAAAGCTCACACCGGCCGCGAGCCTAGGATTGCGTACCCGCTCAAAGCGGCAGGAACGCACACGATGACTGGCCGATTTGTGTGCGTCATTCCGTTAAGCGTTGAGCTTTGGGGAGTTGAACCAGAATGTAGGGATAAGCGCGACTTTGGGAAAAGGTTAGACTTCCTGGTTTTGCGTTATCTGGGCCATCGCACCGTTGCTGCATGTGATACAGTTTGACAAAGGCGCAAAGTCTTTGTCAATGACAATGGGCTTGACAAATGTCGAACTCGTTCGGGTCAGGCCCCATTGTGTAGAATTCGCTCCACCGAGGCCAAATCGCTTCACCAGCCCACTGGTCCCCTCGGTGGTGGTGGGGCATGATGCCAGGGCAGCCCCACCGCGAGCACGCCAATTCCATCAACCCCGGCCGAGCGGACCCGCCTGCGCCGCATGATCCCCCAGTTTCCATCCAGTCCCGTTGCGTTGCGGAGGAAGGTTTCTTGGTGGAGAGTAATTTTAAACTTGGAACAAACATCGTCCGCTCGGTCTGCTTACTCGCTCGCCTCAACCTGCGGCGCACTCTTACATTCCGTAGCCTTTCCAGGCTGCATGTCAAATCTTCACATTCAGCAGCACATCCCACCCAGCAAGTCGAGCCGAGGTCAGGCGGCACATAGCGTCCGAACACGCAGCCGAGACAGGAACGACAGCAGGCGGCAGCAATATCACAGCGAGCTCAGAGCGTGGGAGTCACCAGCAAGACGGAATAGCAGAGTAATCTAGAGGAGAGGCGTGGCTAAGGTTGTGTGCCCCGGCAACAAGGAGGTACGAGCAACAGCAGAACGACATAGCTGGGCAGAGCCAACAAACACAGGCAGTGCTCACAGAGAGACGCACTGCCGCTGCGTCGGAACTGCCCTCGACTCCTTGCCAATTGCTGCGAGGAGCCGTCGGCCCTGCTCAGATGAGCTACGAATTGGACACCCGCTGCGTAACCTCGAGATCCAATGGGAACCGCATCCTCTAGACAATGACGGCAGCTGGAGCTATGGAGCGGACAGGAGGGAGCGAGGCCAAGGCCTCCAAACCCGAGAACGAGACAACCAAATCCAAGGATCAGCGCGCGCCGACCACAGACGACAACAAGGGGGCTCCCAAGAAACGGCGCAAGGTGAATCATGGTGAGTAGATGTGTCACCTCTGCCCGCCTGTCTGGCCGCTGCCAGCATTCATAGGCTGACCTGCTCTTGTTTCTTTGCAGCATGCCTCTACTGCCGCCGATCGGTAAGTTGCCGATGTGCCAGATTGCTGCGTTGGGCTTCCTATCAGACCCTTCCCTCCTCCCCCATATGAAGAGCGGCCCTGCTAGCTGTTGTCTTGCGGCGTGGCGCTGCTGAGATGGCCACTGCGAAGAACCACAGCAGCGGCACACAGACTCTTACATGCCCGGATATGGCAACCAGACGGACACATCAGAACTGGCTTGATTTTGGTGGCTAACCGTGTTACTCTGATCTTGTCCAGCACATGACGTGCGATCTCGTATGTGCTCCCCCTCTCTTCCCCTCTTCAAGCCCAAGAACACTAGGCTACCAGCCTTGGGCTTGAGAGATCACTATGATTGGTGCCGGTTCGGACAGACGTTGACCCGATGGATTCTTTGTGAGGATAGGAGAGGCCATGTACCAGGTGTATCAAGCGCAACATTGGGCACTTGTGCCATGATGAGCCCCGTGACCATGATTCAAGGAAGTCGAAGAGCGCGATAGCTCCTTCAACTGTTCAAGATGCGGCGTCTCAGCCGGATCTTGCCCGTAGCACGATGAACTCGAACACGACGGGCATGAGGCCGGGTTCCTTCGACGCAGCGGCCTTGGGCAACGGGCCGGGACAGGCGGCGAAGGCCGCCTTTGACGCCGCCACTCTGGCAAGCCGGAGTAATAATCCCCTCCAGCTCGTGCAACCTTCCCCCGTATCGGGCTTTTCGGCCAGCGCTCTGGGCACTACCCTCAGTCAGTGTATGCATTTGAGCTTTCTCCGCTCTTATTCTCTCTGAAACCCCGTCTGTGTCCTTGGAACGTCGGGCAGAAGTCGAACTGACGGTGTCGCAGTTGCCGGCTTCTCGGATGCCTGGCTGGCTTCCCAGAGCCAATACCACGATATGCATGCTCTGCACCCTAACTATGTCATCGCCCCCGAGGTGACGAACGAGTTCAATCTCTTAAATGACTTCCTGCAGACGAGCCTGCTAGACGACAACGCCCTCGTATCAGAAGACCAGAACCAGTCAGGCTCGGCTTCAGGATTTGGCAGTGGTAGTAACAACAACAACAACAACAACAACAACGCCATGATCCCGTCCAACGCTGTACCCGGGAGTTCCTTGCTCGCGCCCGGTAATGCCGACCAGGGCAAGGCCATCTCTCGTCCGGGCAGCACGATGCCGATCGACAAGACGCGTGAGTACTACCTCCAGGCGGCCGACCCGTCGGGCAACGCGTCGCCGGAGGAACGGATGCGGCAAGTGCTGCAAGCCAAGTACGAGGCGGGGCTTCTGCGGCCGTTCAACTACGTTAAGGGGTACACGCGGCTCCAGAACTACCTCGACACGCACGTGGCGCCTGCATCGAAGCAGAAGATTCTGCGACAGCTCGACCGGTTCCGGCCAAAGTTCCGGGAGAAGATGAAGGACCTTGTCGATATGGATCTGATCCTCGTCGAGATGTGGTTCGAGAAGACTCTGATGGATTACGATCGTGTGTTTGCCAGCATGGCGGTCCCCGCGTGCTGCTGGAGGAGGACGGGCGAGATTTTCAGGGGCAACAAAGAGATGGCCGAACTTATTCGGGTACCCGTTGAGGACCTGCGAGGCGTGAGTAACCAGATCCAGCACATCAAACGGCCGGAATGTTGTGCGTTCAATGTTCTAACGGTAGATGATACAACAGGGCAAGATCTCGTTACACGAGATCCTTACGGAGGAGTCTGTCGTGAGATATTGGGAAGAGTTTGGCACGATCGCCTTTGACCCGCAGCACGACACGCTGCTCACGGCCTGCTCACTAAAAAGCCCGGACGACTCGGTGAACCACGTTGTGAACTGCTGCTTCTCGTTTAGGATTCGCAGAGATGAGCACAAGATGTATGTCTCGTCTCTTATCAATTTTTGCGGGCCTCCACTGACTTAGATCCCAGTCCTACACTAATCGTTGGAAACTTCTTGCCCCATGATCCAGAGTAAGGGGCTCTCTATTCTGCTGAGCAAAGAGGCTTGCGGCTTGTACATTCAACACAACCTGCTTACACGATTAAAACATAATGACTGTGGCGGCCAGATGAAACACGTTGGACGGATTTTGCTGGGATCAAAATGCAGGGTTATCTTGTTATACATAGCGCGATGGGTCGTTACGCGACATACGTTGGTTGGTTTTACAGGCATAAGCAGTCAGGGAGCTGGCGCTCATAGGATGGATCACCCAAGTGTACCTATATAGGGCACGGTTGGTATTTGATAGTATGGATGCCGGGATGAAAAGATAAGGTGGTGACAGATGGGTTGAAGTAGTTTATCTGTTTTCTGTTTCGCGGCCCGTCGTGGCTTCTTGATTTCTGGAGTTCAACAGCATAGTTTGGTATCTGCCTGGAACCCTGCATCCTCCTGATGTGAAACTGGTTTTGTCAAAATGCGCCTTCCGTGTAACTTATCAAGCTTCATTAGGTAATCAGCCAGGCAGATGTGTCTGAACGGGCATTCTGGTCGCAGCTCATGAAACGAAGAAATATTCTATTTCGATTTCGCTATTTGCTTTTTTTTTTTTTCACCGTTGTCTGTTCCTGAAAGCTCAGCCCCAGGCCCAGTCACTCTATTACCCTTAACACGAGGAACTTGCAAAGAGTCCACGAGCGAGAAACCAGCAGTTCGTGATGCCGCCGGAGAGGACAAGCACCAATGGCCCCCCAGACCAGAAGCGCAAGTTCGAGAAACGCATTGAAGATGCAGTGGGTGTGTATTATGTGCTGAGCTTTTCTCCCTTTTCCCCGTCTCCTGCGCTGACATTCCCTGTTACCCCAGCCCTAGCAACAAAACTTAAATCCCTTCTCTCCAACTCCTGCCCCAATCCCAACTCCGCCCCCGCCTTCGCCGGCGAAGAACCCTCCCTAATCCAGGATGTCCTCCGTCAAATCGAGCGCCTACATGCCTACTGCCAACAACACCATCACGAACTGCTTGCTAAACACCAGCGTCATCGCCATGGCAAGGTCGTGCCCCTGATTATGCTCTACATTCCTGGAATATCGGGAGACCCAGAAATTGATGCAGTCGCGACGGGGTTGTGGAATATTTGTGTTAGATTGTTGAGGGAGGATGCCATCCAAGGGGGCCAAGATGGGCAAGAGAGAGAAGGTGAGGAGAGAGAGGGAGGACAGTTGGTTGCAAGGAAGAAGGTTGGGCTGGGCGAGAAGTTGAGGAAGAAGCTGTATCTGCATGCGAAGGTCCTGGCGTTCTTTTTGTTGGGGGTTGCGAGGCCGAGGGAGAATGGGGGGTATGGGGTTGTGGTGAGGTTGATGAAGCTGGGATTGAAGGTTTTGAGGGATTGTGTTGGTGAGTTGGCATAAATCGGGATCGAAAAGGACGAGGAGTGCTGATATGTCGCAGATGCTGGGGAAAGCAAACTTGCTAGCTTGGTGGTACAGGTTGTGGCGGACTACAAGACTTGGCTACATGATGCCGCACAGAAGTTGCCAGAAGAAGAGGTTGTTGAATGTCGGTGTTTGGAGGTGCAGTATTTCATCATGAGGACAGCTATGGTACGTGATTCCCATCCGAAATATTCTTAGGGTCTAAGTGCTGACGCGATAACAGGCTTGGATTGAGAACAGACTCGATGTCGCAGAGCATATGTACACCCAAGCCATGCAACTTCATCATTTTCTCACTGCAGAGTACGCGGAGAAGCTGGCAGATGTTCTATACGAGATTGGAAAGTCGCTTTCCTCAAAAAATGACTTTGTTACCGCGGTCAAGTGGTTGGAACGAGCGAATGAGATTATCAATGGCCCTGGACTGGAACGACTCTCCCGAGAAGGTATTGAACTGCGGCTAGCCATCTTACAAGCTCTCATCACTACTTTACTTGGGACAGGCGTACCAGAGGACTTTGAGAAAGCCAAGCAGCTCGTCGACTTTATCGAGTCAGAAAATGGCAACAAGTTTGTCGTTTTACTGCTAAAATTAGAGCTTCTGCAAAAGAAACCAGCGGAAATATTCGACGCCGAAGCATATGCGGATGTGCTGCAACACATCATACGGAACTTTGCCTCATCTGAGTCTGGATTTAAGCTAGTAATGCATCACATCCGCAAGCTACACACAAAAAGTCCAGGAGCTGCTTGTACGGTGTTGGATGACTTCATGTTAATGTTGAGCAAGATGGATAAGCGAGGGTGGATGGAGAAAGGAGTAGTGATGCGGATATGGATGATCACCAACCAAAGGGATTCTGTGGATACGATAGAGACTGTGAAGGGAGTGTTCAGTCAATTTTCTTTCCCGTTGGGCCCAGAGGCTGCTGTTGCAGCACAAGCGGTAGGGGTGTCATAAATTTGAAAGGAATACTGCTGACAAGACTGCAGCTGCTCTGGAAAAAGCTCGAATCGAACTTCACTCAAGGGCAGTATGAGCTTGCAGAAAGCTGGTGCGAATTGGCATTGAGTCCGGTCTTCAAAAACTGTGGCCCTGTCAATACCTCAAAGCTGGAGAGGTCTGCTTTATCCCGTCACTGTACTGAACAAAGGAAGGCTAACCAAACCAAGAAAGTTACTCCTCTGTGCGTTGAAAAGGAACAGTATGGACACGGCGATAGCGATCATTCAAAGAATGTCACCTCAAAGCTGGAAAGAACCAATGACTGCATATCTCGCCTTCAAGGTCGCTATGCGAGTTGAGGACCGCGAGCTTGCTGAGAAGTGTCTCGAGACAGTCAGCCAAGCATCAGACCATGTTGACTACCTTGGCGCCTGCATAGCCGAGTCGCAAAAGTCCGGTGATATCCCCATTGCAATATCTGCCCTGAGGAAACTTCAGGAGAGATACGAGTATACACAACCGAACCCTGTCCACCTCCCTGCCTTGTTTCGGTGCACCATACGTCTGTTGAACCTATTAATTGATAGGTCGGAAGGCGATAAAGCAGCGATTGTTGAAGAGCTTTGCAAGGAGTTCGAAGCAGGTATGTCGTCCTGCTAGTAACCTCTGGAGTGTGTGCTTATGTGGGTAGTGGTGGCAGCCATTGAGAAGCAAAAGCAGGATGACGCCCCAGGATGCAAACTATTCACCATGGACGAGCTGGAATGGTTCAGCAGGAATGCCTACAACCTTGCCCTCAAGAACACCACCATATGGGACTTACGATGTACAGTCAGGATGCTGACAGCCTGTGTCAAGATCATCAACCACTTTCCCCAAGATATTCCGTCTCGGACGGAGCTGTCCCTGAAGGCACTCTTCTGCCACTTCGTTGCGGCGTCTGCCCTGGTGTCTCTGGCAAGGACCCAAGACAATATCGAGAAGCAGCTACAGGATTACGTCGACCTCCGGAAGCACGTCTTGGCCTTTGATAGCGAATTGCCTGAGTACCTGGCTCAATTGGATGAACAGTCGAGGGATGACATGCTCTGGAAGAACGCCACACTGCTGGCATTCGACTTCGAGGCGGCTATCGCGCTGAAGCAGTGGGACGATTTGGGCGGTATTGTACAAAGGGCAGTTCCCTGCAAGAATATTGTGGCTTTTCAGGCTATGGCGGATAGTCTGCTGAGAGCGCGTACTCCTGCACAAGGTATGAACCCTCTAACTTGGTTTCTGGTCCGAGGCTGTTGACTGATCTCCTCCACCTAGTGTTGTACTCTATCATGCGCAAACTGGTTAACGAGATCTGGGTCCTCGAGGCCTTTGACGCAGTCAAGCTGGCCAAGTACACTCGGTGTTTGTTCCAAGCTACACTGCCGCTTGATGATGAGCTTGCGATGAAGTTGCTGGATGAGGCGTGCAGTAAGGCCAGGGCGTTGCGAGAGGTGAGACCATACCCCTTGTCGAGCCAGCTGCATGAAAACTTGGAGCTAATTTTGCTTGGTCTGCATAGAGTCAAGCTTGTTGGCCCGAAGAAGAGCTTGAGTGGATGGCCACAACGGCATTCAACCACGCTGCGGACTTTTATGTCGCTAGGGAACTGGAAAGAGCCAAGGAATGGGCGACGAAAGCGATCAATTTGGCACATTGGTGCGGGGATGGAGGAAGGTTGGAGGAGATTTTACAGAGCAAGTACCTCAGGTTGAGGTTTGACAGCGATGGGGTTGATATGGAGTGATGGAGGCGAGGGGGATCTTACTTTTGCGGAATGAGTGGTCTTGAAATATTGCTGTAGCTCTTGCTGGTTCTAGAGTTGTGGCAAAGAGTTTGCGATAATAAAACATTGCTCCCTCGAGCTGCCCAATGGCCTGACAACATGAAGCATCATCTACAGTAGATTTATTACCTAAGGCAAGGTACCCAAACCGTCTACACACACGCGAGCAAACCTTTCCACCTCCTCATTCAACTAACCTCCCTACTCATCATCCCTTGGAACCATTCCCCTCACACTAATAAACCTCACTTTCCCCATCCCTCCCAACACTAAAATCATTGCACTCCCGCATTCCCTAAACCAAAAATGCATCCTTCCCCCTTTCATAGGCGCAATCTCCCACCTCTTTTCCTTCTCCACATACTTCTCCCTCAGAGTCCCCCCATCCTCCCTGATCTGCCTTCTAAACTCTGCCACACTCACATCCACAAACTCAATCACACACCCTTCCTCCTTTACAGTCCTCCCTATGTGGTTTGTGTGGACAATGACTTTCTTACGTAAACAGAGGAGGGATTGTGGGTTGGTGTAAGTTATGGAGGGGTCGACGTGCAGTCGGCATTGGCCCACGCAACGGGAGGTGCCGTCGCGGTAGGTGAGCAAAATACCCTGGACAAGGTTGTTTGAGGGATGGGAGAAGACTTGTGCGGAAACAACATTCTGCAGGGGCGCCCAGGAGTAGAAGGTGCCGGAGACGAGGGCTGGGGTGGTGTTGTTGGGGAGGGTGGTGAACTTCGAGGGGAGGAGGGGGAGTTTGTGTGGTGAGTGGGACAAGGACAGACCTGTTAGGTCTTCTTCGGACGAGAGGCGAGGGTAGGCAGCGAGGAAGTGGAAATCCCTTCCTTCGAGGGGCTGACCAATAATCATGGTTAGGGGACTGCGGCCGCCGAGAGGTTGGGTCTTGCGTGAGCTCGGCTCCGCGGGATTTCACTGCCCTACCCGGACGCTCCCAGCATGCCGAAAGCACAGCACCAGGCTGACTGTCCTCTGGGAGCCGTGGATGCCTGCCATTTCTTGTGGAAATGAGATAGCATCTACAGCAATGAGGCGGTCGGCCTTGGGAACAGGGACGTACACCCATGTGAGACGGCCACGCTGCTCCCAGGGGAAGGTGTTTGCCGTCTTGAGGGCGCATGAGCTGGCGGTGTGGTGGGCGTGTATGCCGACGAGTCTGTAGCCGGGCCACTCGAAGAAGAAGGTTAGGCCTCTGACCTGAGCGAGATCAACTGCGCGGAGGAGTGCGCAGTTGATGTTGCTGACGGCGGCCCAGTGCTTGGTATTGTCGAGGCCAGTTCAGACATCACAGGCGGAGAGCGCTGGGGGACAGGGTGTGTCCCAGAGGAGGAAGTCATGGGGAATATAGTCGTTTTTCCCCAAGAGAAGGGGGTTATGACAGCGGCAGTTCTCCCCGCGGGCTGTGAACGGGCTAACCCAGTCTTTGGGGCGTTTGAGGCGGAGTTGGCCGTCCTGAGGGGGACATGTTAAGTGACTCTGTCCGAATAATACCTAGGGTTTGGAGGTGAAGGTACCTTGATCTGAGCCTCGACCTCGGAAATGGACATTTCCTTCTCAAGAACATAGGCGTACTGGTCTGAGTAGGTCGCTCTGTACTCAGGTCGCTCAAGAAGCCGCTCGATCTTTTGGATACCATGCCGGTCGACTGTTATCCTCCAGTATGTATTTCGAGTTCTGGAATTTTTGCTATCGACACACTCAAGCTTGCCCCCTCGCTCCCAGGAGACGATGTTCTGTAGACTAAATGCTCGCATGCGGGCTTTCCAGGTAGAGGTAATAACGCGTATGGAGTGGAAGACTCGCAAATAACGCCAGAATTCAGTTTCTGAGAAATACCCATAGATCTTGTCGAAAAGCTCTTTCGTGAGCTGCATCAAGATCGACAAGCCACATCTGTTAGCCACAATTTTCAACAAGCCCTTGTTAATCTCAGGATGCATCAAGAAGTCCAAGGGCGGCGCCCCACGCCAGGGGTGCTTGAACGCCGCGAACTCCCACAGATATTCAAGGAAGTCCGGCGTCCGATGCTTCTCGCGATACAGGCAGAAGCATTCCTCATGGAATAGGAGAAGTTCGGGGAAGGCACTAGTGCACTTCCCGCATCGTGGAGTGACACAGGGGATGCCGCCGTAGATAGTGGGAAGTTTGTATCTGGTTCCGTGGTTGGTTGACTTGTATTGGATCTTGAAGGGGTCAGTGTAGGCGTAGACTCCGTGGGGAGGGTCACTATCGTCGTCGCCTAAGACTATGGGAAGTTAACATGCGGGCTAAAAGGAAGAAAAAATATTTAAAAAAAAGAAAAAAACAACAAGAACAAGGATGAAATGAAAAGAAAATATAGTGAGCTGGCCTGCAAAGTAGAACTTACCTCCAACAACAGCCTCCAGAGCAGCTGCATGCTCCCCACAAAGCCCAGATACAACTACTGTCCTGAGATGTTCCCCGCTACAACGTTCAGGCAGATCAAAGCCGACAACCCTGACCCGGACGCCATCGGGGGTGGGGGGGAGGGCTGCTAGACCGTAGCAGTCTCAGCCGTCGAAAAATGACAGTGGTCTGCCAGGCAGAATTTTGAGTCTCCATTGTTAACCTCGGTTGACTAGGCACTTTAGAAGACGAAAAAGGAGAAGGCGGTTGGGGAAGGATAATTGAGGTGCAGAGAGAAATGGGAAAGAAAGTCAGGCCAAGAAACCAGTCAGAGAAGATGACTTCAAAGATGACAACCAATTTTTTTAAAAAATATTTAAGTAATGTGCTCTTCTTAGTCTTTGTTGGGAGACCAAGGGGGTACGGGTCGTAGCCCTGACGGGCGTCATGCTCGGCGGGCCCGGGCTGAGCCCGGGCGTAGAGAGTGTGATCCAGCGTAGGCAGATCTTGCTATCCTCGCCAGGCACGGGACTAGGGATATGATGTACACAAGCCCATATGGTGCTCTTGTGACGGGTTTTGATGTGCACAGCTGAACGGCCACAGCGGGCGGAGTGATCGTTCAGCTTGATGGCTTTGGCAGATGCTGGCACAGAGAGGGCGATGCAAATCGGAGCATTATTTGGTCGCTAACACTTGTTTCTACGTCTGGACAGAAACGTTTTTGATCCAACAGTTCAGAAGGTCATAACTATTGTATTTGTCTTGACGATCACACACTACAGCCGGGCTTGCAGAAACACCAACATTGAATGAAACTGCTTGAATTTTTCAAACCCCCTCTTCCTAGCACGATCTTGTGTTGAAACAACTGATACATATGGAAAGACATGATTACTAGCTTTAAACACTCATGACTTCACTTATGTAGCTTCCTTTCACGCTCCTAGTCTACGATAGTTGTTAAATGGCTGCAGTGGACATAGGAAATCCGCTAGTAAAACATGATAACAGTTGAACATAATTTGTCACTGATGACAGACCCGTTTCTTTGATCCTCTCCTAAACAGCCAACTGTGTACCTGTTACGAGAATACTTTGTTTTGTAGCCGCTGATGCCTCTAATGGTCAGGGGTTGTCGATAGCAGTTGCTCGGGCAGAACGTCTTCATATCATATTTCTGATCAAGGGCTTCTTGGACGACAGTTTACTGATAAACTTGATAAAATATTGGTGGACTTCGAGCAAGCCATAGCCATCATTGTTTGTTTGATAGCGGGCTTTTCCTAGCCAGATCATCAACAAGGTCACCGTAAAAATCATTTACCTCTTGGGATAGCGGTAGGTGCTACGTGAGGTCAAAGCCAAAAGCAGGTAGGGTCAAATAAATTGACTAGAATCATTCTAGGCACGATATCCTTTTCACTGAGCGTAGTTAACTCAAGCTCGCTTTGCCTTCCACCTCGTCGCTCACACTTTCACAAGCCCCTTTCATCAATCTCCATTCTTTTTCAATCCATTCTAAGATGTTTTTGTCAGTGCAACTAGCCCTATCTGCGGTATTGATCGAGATCGATTAGACATTAGGCCCTTGTCTGTGTGATCTACGTGGATGGAGACATGGGGAGCCTAAGTAAAGCCCGATCATCACCGCTTCTTACTGACAAGAGGGATGCCAAACTTAACATCCCTCAATCGCCAACACTTTGAGACAGTACGTACAGGGCTACGCATGTCAGTTCGATCGGGCCTTCATTGTGACTGTTTTGTGAGAGTTCCTGAGTTGTAACTGCATGTCGGGAAAAGACCCAGCAGAAAGCAATAGAAGTCGGCTACGATTCATAAGGTGTTCATTACAATTTCCCTAGCATCGAAAGTTTAAGACTCCTGCCCTATGACCAATGTCTTTGTCTCTTCGAAACTAGACCGGGTACCGCAGCTTGCATCACTACTACTATCACTATCACTGATACCACCACCACTACGACGCTGCTTCAAAGCGTAGACTGCACCACGGGCTGCCCGGTCAAGGGGCAAGGACGGAATCAGAACCTGCAAAAAAACGGAGGTCGACCGAAACCAGCTTATCGAAGGCGGGGTACCAGGGCCGCGAAAACGAGTCCAGACCCAAGGATGGCGTTACTGCTAACTGCAAGTGACCACAGCTTGGTCACCGTTGACCTGCCTCGGTCAGCCCCGGCTCCACTGAGGTCAAGTGCACGCTTGACCTTATATAAGAGCCATGCTTATCTGCCCTCACGCATGTGTAGTTTAGAAGGCAGAGCGTTGTTAGTCTGCGGTACCCCATTGTGCTTGACAGATCCCCTCAGGGCCACGTATTCTGTAGGGCAACGCCCAAGTAAATACTCTCATCCACTTGACGTTTTTTTGTACATCCAACAGTTATTGACCCTTGGTGACCCCGCTCCCGCGCATGCTCCCGTTTCCGCTCCGGCCCAGGCCCTGCTCTAGGCCCTCCTTCAGGACTTGAGCCCCCGCCGGCTGCGGCCCGGGACCGAGACCAAGCTATCTTCTTGAAGCCAGCCAACGTTGCCAGGAAGGGCTGTCGGGCCTTTGGCTAACGCTATCAGTGAACAGCTAGCTGTTACGGCCAAGGGTTCTACTAGCGAAGGAGCAGTGGAACGGCCGAGAGGCCTCGAATAAATAAGGTTGTGTAATGGGGGACTTGGTCTGGTGCAGGCAGAAATCGACAGTGGGTCAAATGGGTTAGAATGATAGCCACTAGCGATGTGGGGTGCACAACGAAGTCAATTGATACGTGCAATAATCTTCCTTGGCCCTCAGTGTCTTTGTGTTAGGGAGAGGATAACCAAGAGAAGTCTGTCGTGTCCGACTAGCTTCCTTTATAGAATCTTCTGGGTCATCCGGTTCATTCTTTACGGTCATGCGGCTTCCAGATACCTCCTGGGTCAACCACGGGTTCGTGCCGCTCACAATTATTCTAACTCTGGTGTCCCTTGTGTTTGGCAGTCAAGATATCCATTTTCCTTGGATTGCCATGTCCGCGTGACAGACTCGCTGTCGATAGGAAGGACTGCTGGCTGCCAATATCTTGGTGACCCCGGGGTATCGCTTCTGCGTCGACTCTAGAGTAGTCCGCCAGGAGGAGCTTCCTACCAAGACCGGCTGGGCCGCTGGAGAAGCAAACGAAGAATGCTTCATGTTAAGGCACTCAAAATATAGGAAGAAGCCCTGGACATCCACCAGCGGAGACTGTCTTGACAACTCGATCATAAAGCACCTTGGGAAGGAGGCTAGACGGGTTGGCGATCAAACGAAAGGGAGCTAAGGGATTGGTACAAAATCTGATCTGCCCCTCAAAGAGTGAAGGTGATAAAAGTGGGATATTTGGTTTGTCAAGTGGATGTCTCTTTCGTCTGATCTGCGAGACAAAGCTGTGAGGAAAGTGAGTACAGCAGTTCCCTTATAAATATAGTATTCCATTTATCTTATTTTGTTCCCTTGGTCATGTAAGTTAAACGAGTTAGCAGGACCACAATGACAACAAGGGGATCTGGGGTAAAAGGAGGGCATAAAAAGATGGGAGAAAATTTAAGCAGGGGGAGAGAGGCTTAAAATTCAAGAAAGAGTGAAGCTAGCAAACTTCCCCACAACTCCTATGAATCAGGCATGATCTTAATGACTTGTGGCATCTCTCTGTAAGATGGATCTAGTTGACAATGGGACATTCTGCATTGAGGAAACAAGATATCCCTGGGGCCAACATACTGACCATCATGGAGAACCAAAGAAGAAGATGCGGCCTAAAGTATGGTGGAATTGCAACACACAAACTATAATAAGACCCAATAGCTCAAAACTAACACATAACTACAGAACATCACAAGCAACTCAAAAGGAAATCAAAGTCAAACAAACCCCCACCTCAACGCCAACTCCCGAATCAACTCACACTCAAATAGCAATAAAAAACCCCTCCTCTCCCTCCTTCGGCACAACTCTCGCCCTCTCAACAATGGGATCCTTACATGCCAGCCTGATCCTCTCCGCCGTCGCGGGACTCACCAACCTCAACAGCCCCCCATCTTCCCTATCGACGCCGACCTCCGCCTCGACTCCAAACTCCTTCCTTGCTGCCTTCAACGCATCCCTAATCGCAAAGAACACCGCACTCCCCAAAAACAAAGGCGGCTCCCCGACGCCCCTACTCCTCTGAATAGTCCTCAATTCCTGCCACTCTACCCCTTTCAGCAAACTCACATTCCACTCTTGCGGGATATCCCTGAAACCAGGAATCTTGTACGCGCCCGGGCCGCGGGTAAACAAATTCCCTTTCATCGGTCCTTGCCTGAGCCACAGCGACTCTTCCATGGTAAAGAGTCCCATGCCCTGGACAAAGGCGCCCTGGATCTGGCCGTAGTCGATTGCGGGGTTGATGGAGCGGCCCACGTCCATTTTGATGTCTGCGCGCAAGCAGGTTGAGCTGCCAGTGAGGGTGTCGACCTCGACTTCGGCGGCGGCAACGCCCTGGGTGAAGTAGAAGAACATTTTACCTTCGTTCTTGGTCCAGTCATAACCAATCTCAGGCGTCTTGTAGAACCCTTGCGCGGAGAGGTTGACGCGATCGTGGTACGCAGCATGCGCAATGTCCTTCATGGACGCGTTGGGGCCGAGCTTGGCGCGGTAGGGGGCAAGGCGCTCGTTGAGTTGGGCGCAGGCGTTGTAGATAGCATAGCCGTTCAGGTCGGACGAAGCTGATGCCGCGGTTGGGGAGGTGTTGGCAACGGTGTTAGTGGCCGTCTCGGATATGTAGACGTCCTCCATGGGGACACCCAAAGCCTGGGCAGCGATCATGGTCATCTTGGTGTGCAGGCCCTGGCCCATCTCCGTACCGCCGTGGGCGACGAGGACGGAGCCGTCTTGATAGATGTGGACCAGTGCGCCGGCTTGGTTGAACCACAGCGCGGTGAAGGAGATGCCAAACTTCGTTGGGATGAGAGCCAGACCACGCTTGCGCCACTTGTGTGTGGCATTGAACTTGTCGACGGCCTCGCGGCGCGCAGCGTAGTCTGCCTCTTTCTGCACCTGCTCCCACATCAGGGGCACATGCCAGTCGACAATGGACTGGTTGAAGTGGGTGAGCTGGCCACGCTGGTAGAAGTTGATCTCGCGGAACTTCTCGACCGGCATTCCAAGCCGGTCCGCCACCTCAGACATGTACGTTTCGGCGATGAACATGCCCTGGGGACCGCCAAATCCACGGAACGCGGTGTTCGACACGGTGTTAGTCTTGCAAATCCGGCCCCTGACATACACATTCGGAATATAGTAGCAACCATCGACATGCGACATAGCGCGCTCACACACGGCAGAGCTCAGATCCCATGACCAGCCGCCATTGTTGTAGATGTCGACATCCAAAGCTTGGATCTTTCCGTCCTTGTTGACACCGACCTTCCAACGACCCAGGAATGGATGACGCTGGCCGGATGTGACCATGTCTTCCTCACGGGTGAGCATGCAACGGACAGGACGGCGCGTCTTCTTCGCCGCCAGCGCCAGGATCGAACTGAGCTGCACCGAGCGGCTCTCCTTGCCGCCGAAGCCGCCTCCGAGGCGCTTGACGCGGACGACAACTTTGTTGGCCTGGACACCGCACACCTGGGCGGCATACTCTTGCCTGTATCTCCGTTAGTATCACCTTTTTCAATGTTCCCCCGGCGCCCCGGGGGGGGGGGTTGGGTGTAAAGAGAGGGGGAGAGAGGGGGATGGAGAGGGAGGGAGGTAAGGGGATCCTCGTCCAAGACTTACGCTTCACTAGGATTCTGGGTACTAGACCAAATCTCCATCTCTCCATCCTCTGGCTTGGGAATGGCCACCGCCGCCTGCGTCTCGAGATAAAAATGCTCTTGCCCACCCATCCTGGCCGTCCCCGTAAACACATAATCGCAGTTCTTGAACGCCTCCTCCACATCGCCCCTCTTAATCTCGCGATAAAAGTCAAAGAAACTGCCGGCTTCAATCGCCTCCTCAATCGTAAACACGGCTGGCAGCTCTTCATATTCAATCTTGACTGCCCGTGCCCCCTCCGCCGCGCGCTGCGGCGACGTCGCCAGGATCAACCCGATCGGCTGGCCCGCGGTATAGACCTCATCCTCCGCAAGGAAGACTTCATCGAAGTGCGGCGCAGCCCAGCGATTCGCCCGTGGAGACGGCATATCCTTGTGATCAACATAATCAACTACTCCCGGAACCTCCAGCGCAGCGCTCCAATCAACACTCTTCAACTTGGCATGCGCCTTCGTTGACAACACGAGACAGCCATACAGCTCGTTCTTCAGCGGGGGGATATCATCCGTGTACTGCGCCTCGCCCGTCGTCTGCTTCAGCGCCGCAACATGGGGATTTGACCTGCCCAGCGTCTCCTGCATGTACTCAACGGCTGCCTCACGGTCTTCCCTTCCACGAGCGATCTGCCTCTCGACCTCCGGCACGGCCTCCATGTCCGCCGCCTCGGGATGAAGAGCCTGCATGACCTCGTGATAAAACCGGTAAAAGAACCCAAGCGCGAGGGACTTACGGTATGTCGCCATGCCGCCGGGGACACCATACGGCAGGTCGAATTCCCTACCCAAGGAATTCATCGCTCCTTCGAGGGTCTCCAGCTCGGCAAACCTCTTGCCCTTGAGGAACTCGTTCGTTTGCTTAGCCGACACCGTGGTAGGCGCCATACCGCCGTAGACAAGGTTCACGTCCTCGATAACGCCATCGTCATCGATTCTGACGCGCAGAGCGCCAGTCACGATGGCGATGTCGTCGTCCTTGCGCTTGGATTGCTTATACGAGCGGATGAACTCGCCTTTCTCGCGGGTGACGGGGATGCGGATCGAGGCCAGCACTGCGTTTTGGGGGAGGGCAGTCCGTCGGTAGCCCTTGAACCAGTTGGCCATCGAGATCTCAGTTGTCTCGTCGAGTGTTTTGGCGACAAGCACAGCCTCGGCGGCCATCAGGACGGGGTTGAGGTCAGAGATAGGGGACGCAGTGACCAAGTTGCCGGCTGGGGTGCCCACGTTGCGGATTTGCCTTCCCGCGAAGTACTTGAGCTGCTTGTAGATGGCCTTAAACACTTGGCTCTTGGCCTCGCCGTAGTGCTTGACGGCATCAAGACAGATGTGCTCGAGGTCAGTCAGGCTGATGTTGGCGCCGATCTCGAGATGGCTGTCGTGGAACTTGTACTGCCGTAGCTCAGCGATATCCCCAACGTATACCGACACGGGGTACTGTAGGGCCTTGAATTTAATCTCAATCTGTGTCTCGGTGCTGCCACCGATGACCTTTGCGTCGGGGTAAGCAGCCTTGATCTCAAGCAACTGGTCGAGGGTGACCGGCCGGAACCACTTCTTGCGCTTGTTGCCAAACATCAGCGGGCGGAACTCGTGCTTCTTGAGCGCTGGAGGGAAGATAAGCTCCGTGTCGGGGTTGTACTCGATAAACCCTGGCGGTGTGAACTTCTTGATGTCCCGGTCTCCATCGACCTTCAACTTGTCCATGCAGCATCCGCCAGCCGGCTTCTCCCCATTTCCCATACAACAACCGCTGCTGGTCTTGGGCTTGCTCTCCATGCAACACCCACCACCAGTCTTCGGCCCATCAGACTTGCAACACCCCCCGGCGGCGGGCTCGCTCATCTTCTCCTCCATACAACATCCCCCAGCCCTCCCACACCCTTTCAAAGTCTTCTTATTCGTCTCCCCCACAAAAGTCCTCGCTGCATCCAAAATAGGCTTATACCCCGTACACCGGCACAAATTACCATCAAACGCCTCTTCGACCTCTTCCTCGGTCAAGTCCTTCCCTTCACTATTCCTGAGCAGGGCATACAAGCTCATGACAATCCCGGGTGTACAGAATCCGCACTGAGAGCCATTCCCCTTGGCCACGCGTTCCTGAGCCGGATGCGGCCGCTTCACGTTGCCGATGCCCTCGACGGTGATGACATGTTTCCCATCGACCGAGACGAGGGGCGCTAAGCATGCGTTAACGCTAGCGTGGTAGATTTTCTGCGTAGTTGGGTTGAGATGTGACACGACGACAGTGCAGGCGCCGCAACCGCCTTCGCCGCATCCACTGAAGGGAGGGGGAGGGGGGATGTCAGCAAGATGGCTTGGGAGAAAGCTAGGACGAGTGGGGGGAGGCTTACAGCTTGGTCCCTGTCAGACCGATTCCGCGAAGGTATTCGAGCAAGGTGATCTCGGGGTCGATGTTGTCAAGCACGACGCGTGTGCCGTTAAGGTAGAAGCGGATGGTGTCGTCGAAGTCAGTGCTTAGCTGGCCTGGAGCTGGACGAGGCGCGTCGGGGTCGATGGCTGAGGGGGCCATGGTGTGGATTGTGAACTGAGAGAAGGGAAATGTATGTGATTGTTTTGTATGTGAGTATGTCTAGCTGGTCCCGATGCTGTAAGCTCCCGAGCCTGGTCTTTCTGTTGGTATCAGGTACGGTTGGAGGGTAGGTAGGTAGGTAGGTAGGTAGGTAGGTAATTCTCGGATGGGTATCGAAGTAGGGTATGTAAGAGTGTGTAACACCGAAACTCTGTGTGTGCGTGTGTGTGTGTGTGTCGTGCGTTGCTCAGGCGGGGCAATGTCGTCCAACACGCATCAAGCCCCGTCCAGCGGAGAGGTACGTCGTCGATTGAATCAGATGTTGAAGTTGTTCTTCAAGAAATTCCGTATGGATCGGGTGGCAACAAACCAGGTTCAGATCCAGGCAGTAAAAGCCCAAGTCAAGGTCAAGGAGTTATCCAAGAAACCAGAAGAGCCGAAGGAGAACAGAGCGAAAGCATCCCTCTTCTTCCACGAAGCACTCAGGCTTGGGGACATGCGGACACATAAGTAAATGCTCGCAAGCCGGAAAACCCCCCCCCTCTTTCCTTCGCACAGCGCAACAGATTACAGATCGACAAAGCCTTGGGACGAATGAATGCATAACAACAAACCAGTTGAACCAGGTCCAGGGAGCCTTATCCTCTCCACGTGCGGGGAACCGGCAGGGATCGCAGCAGAGCCAACCCGGCACGCGGCGTGTAGTTCTCGCCTCCTTTAGAGTTCTAGCAAGCGATGACGTTGAGAAAGACCCGGGCTGAGTCCGGTGTCTCCGTCAGGTATGCAAGATAAAGCTTCTCCCCTACATCTAGACCACCTCCCTCCCACCCCTTCCCCCCAAAACTCCCAACACACTCACAATACGTACTGCACAATGGCTTCCTAGTCCCTGCCATGAGCAAATCGAAAGTCCCGGATCTCAGCAGCCACGACAGACACACCTCCCTCTCGTTGGCCGCCGCTGCGGTATGCCTTCTCCATGCCCATCCCCACGCAATCTGTCATCCCCATCAATCACAAATTCACATCACAGCTGCCGTCACAATCCCATCGCCGTCACTGGCCGGTCTAACCTTATCGCTCTAGAGTGGGGTATCCCAGCTGGCTGGATGGCCCGCCACCCCGCTCTGCTGTCCCTTATCAGCCCCACTTGATTGCGAATGCCCCACCCGCCGCCCGCCAGGTACCGCTAGCTGCCCGCCTGCTTCCGTGACAGCGCTTTCGGCCACCGCCAACTCGCTGCCGTCGTCGGCCGCTTCCGCTGTGCGCCGTCCGCCGTTGGTGGGGACGCCGTTGTCGGAGAATCCCAGAAGTTTTAACTACCTACAATTTCGCGTCAGAGATCCGGCCTATTTTATGATTTTTTTTTATTTTTTTAATTTTTATTTTTATTTTCTTTTTGCGGCGAGGCAGTTGTTCAGTACTATCCAACCCTAACCTTGATGTGTTCCCCCTTGACCACTCTCCTTATCCACATGCCTCACCTCCATCCCAACACCCGAAACCCACCATTCGAGCATCCCATCCCATGGAACTTTCTTCCAACGTAACAAGAACCGCTCATCCTCCGAAGGCGGCCCGAGGCGGACCTGCCGGACCCACGCGGCCTGATCGCGCGTGTACCCTATGTATAGCGCCTGGCCGGGCGCGTCCACCACCTCCATTGGGGGCACGCTCGTAGCCCAGTCGAAGCGGAACGAGCCGACAGATTCCTTGTCGCCGTTGGCATACTCGAGGAGCATGCCGAGAACAGCGCCCGGAGGAGGGGCAGCGGCTGCTTGGGGCGAGGAGCGATCATTAGAAGACGGGGGGAGTAGCCAGAACCCCTTTTCCCGTCTCAACCGCTGCTCCTCGTCGGCGCTCTCACGGCTCACGCACAGCGTAATCTTCACAACATCCTTCAGCGAACAGCACGAAAAAAACCAAGCGTTTTGATCATCCAGTGGAATGGTCGTTGGGGTGAGTGGATAGCGGTAGTTGCATTTTTCTAGTCTGAGATCGGAACCCTTGAAAGCAAGATGCACTACTATACTACGGTCCTTGGGTTGGCGGCCAACGCCGTAGTACATGGAATCCCCTGTGGCATTGGGCTTGTAAAGGCAGTCGTAGAGGTAGGTCTCATTGTTGTTGTCTCTCAGGATCCCCGCATCAGCCCAAGTGGGATCGGGCGTGGCCCATCGGCTGAAATATCTAGCTCGGTTGCGGTTGGTAATAAACTGGAGAAAAACACAAGTTCAGCAACTTGCCATGTGTTGGGAGGTGAGCAAGAAATGGAACTTACCGTCAGTCCAGTACTCTTGTCTTTATTCAACATATGGCTGGGTGAGGCACAGATCTGGGTGATATGCTCCCCCACATTCATCGGCATATAAACCCAGCAGCACCACTCCGGTTCATCCCGTATCCAGTACCGGTATTCTGGAAATGTGTATTCCTCTCTGTGTACCAAAATCTTTTGTATCCCATACTTGGTCACCGCAACTGAGTATCCAATCGTTCCAGGCTCGTTGAGCCCTACACGGTGCATGAAAGTATGGCCCTTGACTTCGGGATCGCACACAGCAATAACGTTCCTCAGGCTATCCGGGCGCCAATCTTCTAAGCTGAATGGCCTCAGGCGCTGCATCCGCAATGGTATTGCTGCCAGGTCCATCTCGGATACGAAAGTGAGTGGCTGGGTGTCGCGGACAGGGAAGAGCATTTCGCTTCGAGCTATCTTGTCGTTGGGACGAGGCCCTATCTTCTTGTTAAATGCACGACAGATCATCATGTTTCGGAGTTTACCGGACTGCGAGCTTGTTAGTTGGGCAAGGGATAAGCCGCGAGATGATTCGGGGCACCGACATCAGGCATGCATTGAAACATATTCTCTCTCACTAAATTCCAGCGCTGCCACCAGACACCAGGAACGGAATTCGGACCAGGCAGGGTACGACCAGGCACAGCGAACTGCACCTTTCGAATGCCTAAATGATCACGCCCGACGTACATTATCCGTGCCGGATGAGCGGATTGCGCGGCCAAAATACGGTACTCCCTGGCCTCTGGCTTCTCATTAGATTTCAAGTTCCGAATCCGCTTGATGTAGACATTGCCCAGGACCTTCACAAACGTTGCGTATACGTCCCTCGTCACATCGAATTCCACTGTCGTGCCGATCGTCCTGTCGGTCACGTTCAGCACTTGCGCAACGATAAACTCGGACATTAAGTACCCCGCAATCCGGAACCATATCTCATACGGGAGCTTTCCCTGGGCAGGTCGAAACTCGGCTTCGAGTGCTGGAACGATGGCTGCTTTCAGGATGGCAGGCCTTTGTTTGGTATGGTACCAGATAACCCAATCGTTGCAAAAGTCATGCTTCAAGATGGCCTCGAGATACCACGCTGTTCCCATATTTTCCCTAATGAGACGATGACAAGCGCGATGGTATGCTATATCAGCGCTAGGCAAAGGGACAGCTTTCTGGTCAGACGGAATCTCTTTGACGGCCTCTCTTGGGTCGCCCTTGACAAGCTTCAGGACGAACTCGCGCTCCCAGGACCTGGTGTTGTTCCCGGTGCCTTTGACAATGACGAGGTCAGTGAAGGAAGCAGAGGTTTGGACGGACAAATGCTTTGGTAAGTGCATAGATAGGAAACATACAGGCCCACACTTTGTCTCCATCTTGCAGCATCAGGGTACATAGAGGGCAGACCCTGCCCTGCTCAGCGATGAGTATTTGCGTTGTTCTCTCTGGCATTGGGGTTTTGGTCCTCCTGAGAGGATGTGAGCACAACCAGCGGAGGTAATGACAAATAGTTAGGACAACAGTGATGTTCCGAATATGGAATCCAAAGGCGAGCAAGCACTCGATATTACTAAGCCGGATTCCCCTGTTCGCTAACAGCTTCGATTGATGGAAATATCTGGAGGTCAAGGCAAGCAGAGCGCGAGTAATAGAAAGCAGAGGCAGCTATCGCGTCGAAACCCACGTCAGATGATACTTGATCGCGGCACACGGGATATCAAATTCAGAACAGCAGAGTCACAGCTCATTGAAGAAGATACTTAACGACAAGTCTTGGGAATATAGATATATCGTCTTTCACTGTCTGGTTATTCTGTGCAGGAAAGCCCGGAAGATATTGGGACTTGGAGGGGAGGACTCACGGATGGACGGGCCGATCACCTCTGATATGGTGTGCCTGCGTCGGCTTCACGGTCCGATAAGGGTTAGGGTTGCTTATTACCACAGGGGTTTCACGGGAGGAAGAGTATATGCGGTGAATACTTTAGGCACCCGTCAAGACCATGAAGTGAGATATCGCAGACAATCCATTGTCTCACCAGAGAGCTCAATATCCCGATATTATGAAGCAAGATAGCACTTCACGGCTGAACAGTTTCGTTCTTCGCAATCAGCCCCATGCTTCGTCAGCATGATCTTATCTCAATCCCCGCCAAGATCGGTCTCCTCCAAACCCTGCTGCCAAGCCTGCCGGGACAACAGCTCTGGCCCCGCCAACGAGGCGGATCCATGGATAGATCACGGATCTCGGAAAGCTGTAACGCGAGCGACTCTTAAACAGCGTTGCACGCAATCATGTGTGAGGTTACGGATCCCTACCGTGACTTGTTTTACACGGATTATTTTTCATTTATGGAAAGACGGAAATGTTTCTGGTTAGTATGATGCGTGATACTTGTCTACCGGGCACCATCCACCTCACCGTCGGCACGTTTCTGAATCCCAAACCAACAGCACCCCAGGACTGCGACGTTCCTGCAGCACCTGCGACGCGTAGCTGGAGGACAGAGAGAAGAACCCAGGAAGATGATGCCATCTCTCACTTATCCCCCGTTCCAGATCCCGTCTTCTTGTGGCCCATTACGTTACTAATGTGCCTGAAAGACTTCACAAAGCACAGAAAAGACCCAGGACGATGGAGCCCGACCCTCAATAGTCTAGGGCAGCAGCGGTAGCGGCATAACACTACCGACGTAGCAGCCCCTCATTCTCCGCACCGCATGCACCGGCCGTGTGCTCCCCGGCCCGGCCATGTCATCCATCAATGCGATTTGCACCGCCTGCGTCGCATTGGTCACAGTAGGCTAGGTAGTAGCCATGGTGGTGTTGGAGACAGGATGCGGCACCGGGGTATTTAAACAATGTCCTGGGAAGATCCGGGGTAGAAAAAGGGATAGTCTGACCTCGCTTTCTGGAACTGGACTCTTGGACGTCGATACCTCGCGCCGCCGCCCTCCCCCCCCCCCTCCTCCCATCATTGTCCAGCGAACAGAAATGGTAAATATGGAGCTCAAGTTCTACAATATCGTCAACGACGAGCTGCGCGAGAGCAGCGAAAACCACCGAGGCATTGACCCGCGCACCGAGGAAGAGCTCTGGCCATGTCCTATTGCGAGTGATAAGGACTTCGAGGATGCTGTTGCTGCTGCGCAAAAGGCCTTCAAGACATGGAGCAAGTCAACTGTTGCTGAGCGCCAGGCGGCCCTCGTTAAGCTGGGCGATGTGCTGAAGGAGCATGCTGAGGAGTTGGCAAGCATCTTGATGCGCGAGAGCGGCAAGTCGGTATGTCGAGCTACCAGAAAGATCAGCCATACAACAGAGGGCTGACATGCTTCAGAAACTCATGTCCGATATCGACGTCCAAACCAGCATCACCCATTGCATCTGGTATTGTACGTCTGTCTCCTCCCACTCTCCCTGATTCCGTCAACCCCCAACTGACCCCTCCAGCCCAAAACCCCCTAGAAGACAACGTCCAATACGAAGACGACACCACTAAGATTATCGCAACGCACGAGCCCCTCGGCGTCGTAGGCGCCATCTGCCCCTGGAACTTTCCTCTGATCCTCTCCAGCGTGAAGATCGTCTCGGCGCTCATCACAGGCAACTGTGTCATCGTGAAACCCTCGCCGTTCACGCCCTACGCCGTGATGAAATGGGTCGAGCTGTCGCGCGGCATTTTCCCTCCCGGCGTCTTCCAGGTCCTTAACGGCGGCGCTGATGTGGGGGCCAAGCTCTGCACCCACCCCGGCATCGCAAAGATCACTTTTACCGGGACGATCGCGACGGGGAAGAAAGTTCTCGCCGCTTGCGCGGGGACGCTCAAGAGGGTGACGCTCGAGTTGGCGGGGAATGATGCTTGCATTGTCTGCCCCGATGCAGATCTCGACGTCGCCGTCCCGAGCGTCGCCAGCGGGGCGTTCTTCAATGCCGGGCAAGTCTGCGTTGCCAGCAAGAGGATCTACGTCCACGAAAGCATCTACGACGAGTTTCTGTCGCGCTTAGTCGCCGAGGTCGAGAAAAGCTACACCATCCAGGCCGACGGACATGCCTTCAGCTTATTCGGTCCCGTTTCCAACAAGCTCCAATATGGCATCGTTAAGCGCATCATCGATGACTGCAAGGCCAAAGGGTACGAGATCGTCACAGGAGGCCAGACGGCCCAGGTCACGGCCGATGGGAAGGGGTTCTGGCTGCCGCCGACGATTGTCAAGAACCCACCGGAGGAGTGTGAGCTTGTGCAGGAGGAGCAGTTTGGGCCGGTGCTGCCTGTGCTAGAGTGGTCGGATGAGGATGATGTCGTTGCGAGGGCAAACCTGGCGAATGCCGGGTTGGGGGCGAGTGTTTACTCGAGGGATCTGGCAAATGCAGAGAGGATTGCGAGGAGGCTGGAGGCGGGAGGTATTTGGATTAATCAGTCCGAGAGGCCGCACCATGCGGCGTATTTTGGGGGCATGAAGGATAGCGGGTTTGGAGGGGAGATGGGCAAGCAGGGGCTGCTGAGTTATGTTTATACGAAGTGTTTGTATTTTAAGAAGTGAGGGGTAAAGTCATGTATTTACCTGAGGATTGAGCTATGGATGAACCTTGGGTCGCTGGCCATCAGGCTCTGTTACTACGGCGACTACAAACAGAGATCGTTTAGAAGTGAGCATGAACAGAAAAAGAAAATATCCGGGAAGAGGCCTCTTTGTCAGCTTCCCGGGATCACCAGGGGTACAAGGGGCACGGCGCGAGCTTGTAAGTAGGAAAGGGGTCGGCTTGAGGTGGACGCCTAGCCAAGTAACCGAACTGGCCGGAGAAATTAGGGAGTACTGAATCTCTTGAAGTCCGGAAATACCGTGGACTTGTGGCAAGAGTTAAACCCGAGACCTGAGGAATGGCCTCGCAATGGCAAGTTCGGAGGACATACCGCTACGTCAACCATTCCCCGGTCATAGGTATCTTGCTGGAAAGAAAGAAGCTTGGGGTGGCTTATATGATTGTGGAACTGGAAGTTTGCAAGTGCTCTAGTGGGAGCCAGGTGGGGATAGAAAAGAGGTTGGGGCGAACTGACCAGTCATGGGCTTTTTTTTTTTTTTTTTCCCTCATGGCCGTAGCTGCTTTATCTTGTTGTACAAGCACTTGACCTTGACCCCAATCTCAGAACTAACAACTCATCCTCTCTTATGAATTCAAGTTTTAAAAGGTAACCATTCACACTCACCATGAGGGTAGCCCTCACGATTGTGTCCTCCGACCCAATCGACGCCCCTCAAAGAGGGTCCAAAATTTTTACGGAAACCGTCTGTCCCCTTTGCAATCATCGCGTCGAAGGTCATCTTGCCATCGCGCGTACGTGAGGCATCATAATTCATCACCACTCTCCACAATCTCAGCCACATAAGCTGATGGCAACCTTCCAGTCCTCGGAAACCATGACCTGACCTCTCTCCGCGCCTACACCAGCCCCTTCACCCTTGAACCCCCGAGATCATTAGACCCCAGTACCCTAGACTCCAATCCCCCAAACTTCAATCTCCCAAAGTACTCCTTCCCGTCCCTTGAGGGACAGGAAGACCGTCCGCTAACATACATTCACTTCCGAGGGGATCTCTCTAACCCAACAGACTCCCGACCTGAAGCCATCCTTCTCCACGAGCTCTGCTTTGCCCTCTTCCAGGTAAAGCTCGAGCAGCTCCAGCCGGCAGGCTTGGCTCCCACTTTCGACCAGGCGCTACACCGTTTGTGGACCCACGCAGCATGGAAGACGCCCTGGAGCTACGCGCCGCCTCTGGATTTTTTGCCCTCGCCTGTCGACCGCGCAGATAAACCAGCGCCGAGGGGTCTCGTTGCGCAGTTTGCGTGGACCTTGGCGGAACGGCTGCCACAGGAGGTGCTGGATATGGTGAAGGGCTATTCGGAGGGGGCATGGATCTGGCGGGTGCCGAGGATCTTGGAGGTCGTAGAGGGGATTCTGGCTGAGAGGGACGAGCCCATGGTCACGCTATCTTTGAGACGTGTGAGCTTCTGGGAGAGGGGAGGGCGGCTGGAGAAGGTTGAGAAGAGGGAGAGTAAGCTCATAGAGGACGAGTTCGTGAGACTGACTGTTGACGCGAATGGGCTGAAACGCGTTGAGCGATTCCCTCACCGGCCGTCATGGATAGATGAATCGCCGCAGGATGAAGCTTTTGCGCTGGTGAGGGAGCAGGACTTGCTCGGAGAGGTGTTTGCCGAACTCAAGGTTCGTTTTTATTCTCTCCTATTGCGGCTTCAAACTTGGTGTTTAGCTGATAGATTCCTGCGCAGAATGGCCGAATGCGTCTTAGGTTTACAAACCATAGAGAGCCGATTTACGGGGGGAGTTTTATTTTGTGGAACACCCCCGTTCCACCCCGTTGGGAATTCTTATGCACAAGTACGCATTTTGGGAGTTTCCACAGCAATAATTATTATTGTCCATGGACTCCCCTTCCTCAGATCATCGACCGCATCCCCCTTCACGACATCCGCGGCCTAACTTTCTTTATCGACCAGCCGGTCGCCAACATCGTGGGTGTCCACATCCATCGCGACACCGACAGCACCGCTGGCGAGACTCTTCACCAATTCCCCCCATGGCAACAAGATCGTCTCGTCTGGGTTCATATCCCTGTTTCCCCCAATGACCGCATTATCGGCCTGGGTGACCAACAGTCCACGGTCTTGGACCGTCAAATAGAATATCCAAATAATCTTGGCCCGCGCAAACTCCTCTTTCGGCTTCAACTAGCCGGCGATGTTACCATCGGGGCTCTTCTCGGTGAGCGTCATCAACCTCCGAACAGACGTAACACCTGCTCTGTGGCCGCGGGGGCGCCGATAACCATGCTGTTCGGCAAGCCAATACCGGGGTACGATCTCCTTTTTTTTGGCGCCATCCACCAAGATGTGGTGGACCAATGGGATGGGTATAACTTTGGAGGGGATTGGCCGGGTTCACGTTGGTTTAACCAAGTGCTGTGGGATGATGATTACGACCTCCACGACGAGGGACAAAATCCCGTCGGCGACTGTCTGTCCTGGGCTTGGCTGAGTGATGTGGCCGCGGCATGGGTATACCTCTCTCCTCAAGACAAGCGGATCTGCCGCGGGATCCTGATCGAGTATGGCAACGGAGCACAGCGTGCGCTGGGCCAATGCCGCGTGAACCATGATCCGTGTGAGCGGTACGACGCCCCGAGGGTTATGTTTTACCGGCCTTGGACCAACGACCGGGGTGTTCCCATGTGTGAAGTGTTCTTCGCGCAGACGACCGACTTTTCTGAGCTGCCCCCTGAAATACACGACAGGATACAGACGGGCCAGCAGGATGAATGGAAGAAGACAGACGTGGCTCCCCATAGGGTTCCTGGGAAAGACTTGGTCGCCATGCTGGTCAATGGCGAGGGGAAGTGTGTGATACGGCTGAACCGGAGAACATACTCTTGGGATTCATATCGTAGGCGAGGTAGATGTTAATCCTGTCGATTAGGGGGAAGTTTAGCCATGCTGACATTTTGCTTAGAACGGTTTCACAGGGAACCCGAGATGGAATAGGGCCCCTGGCGCAGCGGGGCTGAGAGACTTCTGAAAGAATATTTTCGCAGACAGGTATTGTAGGAAGTGCGTAAATCAGTGTTGACAAAATTGCTTCCTCTCAACTGGTCATCTGGGCAGTACCCAACGCATTTCCTTCTACAGGAGGGTTGGTGTAATAACCAGCCTACTGTCCGCATCACCAATATCGTACCAAAGCTTAATGTAACCCTCAAGAGGTGCGGCCTTCCATCCCTTAAAGGAACGCTCGAGCTCGTCATCGTAAGAGTCCAGCGTGATCGACGTGAACTGCACTCTCCAAAAGTACCACGGGTGGTAAGGAAAGTAAGGATTTACAGAGCCCCACATGTGAATCGTTTTCGGATTCCGGTAGACCTGATGCTTATCAGTTGGCTGACACAAACCTATCGCTCGCCGTGAGCCGTCCTCATAGACGAAAATGATCCCCCCTGCATTGGCCTTCAAGCTGCCAGCTGGATACCACTGCCTCCACAACGTTATCCAGCGGCGCCCATGAATAGATAGTTTGGTAAGATACCGGGTACTCAAGAACGCGTGTCCAGAAGCCGAAGGCCGGCGGGCTTGGGAATGACGGCTGGAAACTAACATCCTCGTTGTCATAGGTCCCGTCGTACCCGCCAAACCATTCCCAATATGTCCCATGATGAGGCACGCCGTATACCAGCGTCACTGGCCCGGCAGACGTACCCTCCCCCTCCGCCTCTCCCTCCTTGACTTGAGCGAGACATTGGTCCATCCAACCGGGGTAATCCTCTATCAAATACCCCGCTACTGCGTCTCCCGCCAGCTTCAGCCTTAGTAACATGGCATGTCGTATCTTCGTAATACCACGCCCATCGTCCGTGCCCTGCCGTGTGTGTCGCATTCCGAATCCAACAATCCGGTCGGTTTTGCCGACGGGCGCGAATATCCACTCGACACCTCGGCAGAGAAAGGGGGGCAGGCCGAGTGGGAGCACCGTATTCTTTTCGTTTCCATTCCCCGGATGGTGCACGTGCATACCCAGGGGCCTACCATCTTCGGGACGGAGGAAGAAGGTAATCCCTTCGATGGGGTTGGAGGGATTCAGGCGGACGGCTTTGAGGAAACAGCTTTGGTCAGGGTAGTTCTCATAAGTGTTTACGCTATGGCTTGTAGGGTAATAGAGACGGCACTGGAAGAGGGATGGTGGGTGAGGCGTGTTCCAAATATGGAAGCCTTTTGGGGGTCGAGAGTGCTTAGGGGGGAGGGAGAGGCGTATGAGCGCGGGGTACTGGAGTTCGTTAGTCTGATCATCAGGGTTGGGGTCGGGAGGATTGCGGATTTGAGTGACTTGCCTTCCCCTCGACAACGACATCTTCCAAATCCTCCACCCTCTCAACCACAAACCCGCACTGATCTACCTCCCTTCCCTCTGTACGACGGCTTCTCGTCCAACCGCCAGATCTTAACTATCCCCCTCAAGTCAACCGTGATGCGCACCCACCCCAACTTCCCCTCCTCCTGCTGCTCAACCGCCTTCCGTTTCCCCAGTCCAGTGTTTCGCCCGTAGCACAATACTTCCCTTAATCATTGGTGCTGCCGTCGTTGATCGCAAGCAAGGGCATCTCATACAGGGGCCCGACTTGGCCGATGGCTTGGCGTCCATACAGGGGCCCTACATGCTTGTTGAAGGGTGGACGTACGGTCACCCGGAAGGCGGACGTATATGCGCGGAGGGCGGTGTAATCTTGGTTGCTGAGAACTGTACCTCTCTTCCCAGACGGTGAGTGAGTGAGTTAAGACGTACTTGTCATTGTATGTTTTTGATCTTTACTTCGTGAGAGAAGAGTTTACATACGCGCGACGTAAAAAAATATCTTTCTCGTCCTGCTGGGGTACTTCATTGCAGAGGGCGCAGCGTACGTCGGTTTTGATACATTTTGGGTCGGGCGGGCGTGGCTTAGAGGTGAGAACAGTGATTTCTGGGGGAATTTTTAGCCTAGACATTGGGGCAGGATCTTTGTTGTGAGAGATGAAGATGGGTGTTAGAGCCAAGCCCGAAGTTATGAGAGCGAGAGTGACGTTAGAATGGCAGGTGAAGAGAGAGGTACGACGTGCTTAAAACTAGCTCTAGTTTCTTTTCCAGGGTACCATTAGTGGACGCTAGACTTGTATGATGACCCATGTTGGTGGACATACTACTGCTACGCCAGTGACTCTACGGTTTTAGGAGCTAAGATGCCTGGTAGATTGCGAATCTCAGCCCTTTGCGGTAGCAGATCCGCTGCTATACTTAGCTTATTCTCAGCCGCCCACGGGTCAGTTTCCTACGGGAACCCCGGCACGATGTTACGTCAAGACATAAGACGGGGTACCTGTGATCCACATAAACATGGTCTTGCAAGATGTGTCTTCACGGGAAGGCCAAATGACTATGTAGGAGCTCAAAGTGATTCGTACTTGAAATGTTCACATTGTCTAAGTGGATCATCATAATTCCAAGAGGATCGATGTACTACATCAGCCTTCATAACACAAACAGTCCGGATGATCTAGCCAAAGAACTCCCTCCTTTGTAGGGACAAAGTTTACCAAATCTTACACATTCCGACACAACTCCAAACATCATTTATGACCACATGTTTCACATACCTCGTCCCCATTATTCCTCCTGAGACTTCTCCTCAACCCAAATCGATGTCGCCATTGGAAGGAACCAGGAATGCATCTTCCCCTTTATGACGCTCTAAAAGGAGTAGTGGGCCGTTTCTCTGCTCCCCCTGGTCCGCACACGAAGAGGACTCTATGGTCGTCTGAGACGCTCCAGGTATCCAGAGACTCGGATCCCTTAGTCTCCAGGAAGCTTGCAGAGAGGCTCGTACGAGCTTCTACAGAAACCAGGCTGCTTCCGTCGCTACCCCATCCGACTGGGGTCGCATCCTGCAATGGCGCAAAGACTTCTCGGATGAACCGCCCATCAGTGATTTCGGTCATTGGACTCTCCATCCTGAATGTAGAGAAATGAGTGGCCCACCTTGCCGCCCAAGCCTTCCGTCCAGCCGGTTTTCGGTCCGGCTCCAAACTGACTTGGTCCGGACCAAGAATTACCCCAGACTTTCGGACCAGGTTTAATACCCCACCCTCGGACGTCAAACTTACCGACAGCTTCCTCGAGGCGACATCTAACACTCCGGGTCCCGACGAAGTGCCTCTATCATTTGTCTGACATGCCTGTGACAAACTGCTACTGATCGCCTGATGCCTCTCTGGAGCCTGTCTCCGCCTCGGCTACTTGGCATCCAAGCAAGCAACCGTGGTTACTCTGTCCAAACCGGGTCGTGACCCCCGATCCTACAAAGGATGGCGGCCGATTACCTTATTGTCTGTCTTTGGTGAGGGAATCGAGAGACTCTTCCAGAGAAGAATAACTTTAGCCGCAATCTTAATCAGGCGTTATCCCCCTGGATGTCTCCAGGGCTGTTCCATCGAAGATCAGCACTGGATCTTGTTCAGGCCCTTGTCCGTGACGCGGAGACGAGATCACGCCAAGGAAACCACGGACTGCTGGTTACACTCGACGTGGACTCGGCCTTCCAGACCGAAGAGTAAGCCGATCTGGGTCCATCTTGTATCACTTCAAGCTTGCTTCACTGGGGAAAATGTACAGCGTGTCCACTCTTAGACCGAGACCGCCTGCCTTCGGTATAAGGACTGGACACGAAGTGCAGCGCGGAGTGCTAATTGGGGTTGGGTGCCGGCCTCAAGATAGCTTTGCGTGTTCGTCCATATACATACATGAACGATGCACATTGTTATGATAGAGTAACAATGGGTAATGAATATAACACGAAGAGTATCGGTGACCATAGGGATCTTTGGAGCAGCCAAGTGTCCGAGTGAAAGGTAGATGGTAAACTGAGCCCCTTAGCCCTAGCATTCTCGAGAGCGTCCGCTGCGGCCTTCGTGGAGGGCCTAATCAAAAGACCTCTAGAAGAGCGGCGGCTTCGTCGAACCGGTTTCCTAATAGCATTGTAGAGGGAGGGAGGGGCATCTGGCGAGCCCTGCTCACTTGCACTAGCAGAGTTCTGTGGTCCAAAGCCCAGCGGGCAAACTCGGCGAAGGCTGTCTCCAGCCCTAGGGCGTGATCGACCGTCCGTCTGCCAGGCAGGCCGCATGGATGAGGAGAGAGCGAAGCTTTGAGATGAGAGGTTTGACGACCGTCTTCTCGATCTGTCCGAAGAGGCTTCTCTCGACGTTCTCGACCGCGGCATAAAGTTTTTCGGAAACGGAGACGAGTGCATTGATTTCTTTGACTTTGACCTCCCTGGCCTGTCGTAGGGCCGAGAAGACGCCGGCGCTAGCCGGCGCCATGGTTGGATTGAATTCAATTGAGTTGTAATTCTCGACCCATCTCACCCCTTGAGGGTGCTTAGTCGTGCCCACGACGGCGGTGGGCAGGAGGTGATTATGGGCTGCCTAAATTACACTATATACACGCGGGGAACCCAAGAAAAAGGGGAAAAAAAACCGGTGTGTTGCTGTGAGGGAATATCATAATTAGTCGTGACACATGAGGCTGCTCAATAATTCCTCCCCTCCCCCTCCAAAAACAAAAAGCCCAAACCTCGCCTTCTCTGCCCTCCACATGCACTGATCCTCAAGCAGCTTCAATAACCACGACATCCCCACGTCATAGGACACCCACAGCACCTCATGTGTGCTTCCGACACATCCCCGACTCGTGCTCTCCCCGGCCACAAAAACATCCAAAGGCCCCGCACAAAGGGACACTCCTGCGATCAGTGGACACACCCTACCGCCAGTCCGCCATTATAGTGACAACCTAGACACAAAGGCCTAAATACCACACCGTTCGCCAACATCATGCAGCCCCTTATCCTCTCGCGCTTGTCCGCGAAAGGGACAGTGCAGTGCACGGCGCATTCAGTGGCGCGCAGGACAGCTGACATACCCCGCACTTCGTAGCCCGGATAGCCTGCTGCCATAATAATCCTTTTGCCTTTGGAATAGAGGAACTCAAAAAGTGACAAGCAGCAGGGCCGTTCTCGGCCCCTTTGTCCCTGCTGTTAGCGAGACGGTTTTCAAACGGAGTTAAACGGAATGAATTAACGGAGGGTACATAGCAGCAATGCCCGTGCTGCAAAGGGTACAGTAACGCCGTTGCAACCGAACCTGTGTGTTACTCACATCCAGCAGACCAGCAAAGGTGGCCAAGGACAGCAAAATAGCCATACAAATTCCAGGCAGCCTAGGTGGCTAGAAAGTCTATAAATACGTACAAACTTGTTGAGATTTTGCAGCGAGTGTCGAACTGCCGTTGGGTTGATGGCTCAGGTTTATAAGGAGTCCGCAGAATCAGAAAATGCTCAGGCGCTCTGGCAAGGTCACCTCCACCTCAGCTTGTCAACTCTATAATCAGCGGGGAGACACAGCGTTGTGCAGATGAAGATTCTTAGTTTTTCCTCTAGATTCCGACAGACGATAAGAGAAGAGTTCGCCCTGAACTCCAAGCATGGCGCACCCGTCTTGGAAAAGTGGCGAGGTAATATCTCCTGTCTCTTAAACTCATAGTCCTTGAACCGCACCCGAACCCATATCAGAAGGCTTGGGCAACAATGAATGATCCTGCAGGTGCAAATGCGGGCCAAAAGCTCATAGGATACAATTGCATCTGGAGTATTATTTCAAGAAAGCTTCAGACCTTTAAAGTTGAGGGTTTTTTTTTTGAATATTTCTTGGATATTTTAAATTTCGATATATGCTAGTTAAGGTTAGGCTGCCAAAAAAACGGCAAATAGTAGGTACTCTGGGAGTAATAATAGTTTGTCTGGCCTTAATATCACACATGCACCAGTTTTTGACGAGCCGTACCGTTATCAGCAGGTCTAACTGTACCCTCGAAGTAGACGTTTTGTAGGGAAGCCTTACCAGAGCTAGTTGATTGGCATTCAATCTAATTCTATTCTATTTTTTTTCAACCGGTCTGACCCCTGATTCCTGGAGGTGGTGGGTTGTGCTCACGTCGACGGCGAGCAACAACTAACTACCTGGCTCACTATATACATTTTGCACCGGAGAAACCCCGCACCAGGGGAAACCTGTGCTAGCTAAGGGGAAAAAAAAGTGAAGATAGGCTTTTTTTTTCACCGTTAAAGTGATACCTCTCTGAGCCTTTTTCTGGCCCGCGCCCTGACTGCTTATGGCACCTGTCGCTTTAATTAGATACGAGCTGGAATTCTAGCAGTTGTTAGCAGTGGCTTAGGATATATGATAACAACTACGTAGCTCTGAACAAACGACAGCTTAGACATTATGAATAAGATCCTTGGCCGTCTGATCAGACGGCTCTGATGCTGATGACAGTCACTTTGGCCTCTGAAACCCTAAGACCACCTGTGCGGTAAAACGAAGGACTAAATTCCTGTGCTTGTAAAAATAAGTGAGAGCTCGTTTGTTATCGGGAACCACCGTTATGGAGAGAACCCCTTGAAGATATACGGAAGGCCCTAATGTTGCGGTTTAGCAACGGCGCTATCGCGGGCATGGATCTGCACGGCAGGGGTCCCATTCGTTTCCCCAGAACTTCCTGTCGGGCGCCACGGCGTCGCCGAATTTACGTTCAGGAAGAGCAGCAAGGATGAAGAGGGGCGGAATCAAAATACGTCGGCAACTGCGGTTGAGAGAGCGCAGCAGAATGCTGGGCTCGTCCTCGAGCTTCCTTAAACTCTTGGAGGAGCTGGGATGGAGGGCACGTACGATGAACCACTATCCAAAAGACCAATCTTCCGTATTTGCTGCTAACCGTATGTCAGCATGATATGGAGCATGATATGGAGCAAGTAATTTGGACCGCCAAGGCGCGGGTTAACTTCCCAATATCACTCAGACAGCTGTCTCCCCTGACGAACATGATGACGAGCCAATGGCAACAGCTGTTCTCAAACGCTACTGATGGGCTGACAGTTCAGCTCTTTCAATTCCTGCACCTCACCGGAGCTGTCAAATGCCCTACTCTCTTTAGGGGAAGATCGATGATCTAATGCTGCTGTCGGGGAGTGTGCAATGCGTGCATTTACTCTTCGAGCCGTCCATCCGTAGCCGTGCTGAGAGCTGAACAGCCCATAACCCCCCAACACATTGAATGTCGACAAATCTCGGAGCACCACATCGCCACATGTCGGCCTCTCCGTCGACAAGAGCGGTCAACGACGACAGATGCTCGAAGGGCTGGGACGTGGAGTGAGGACGAGACAACCTCGACGACGACGATGAGGGTGAACTTCGATGTATAAAAGAGGGCGCGCCGCCGGGCGAGGAGCATCAACAACCGGGTCTCAGCACCACACTCGAATCGACAGCCTCACTACGTCGCTTTACTGAAAAGACTCGAAGGATCTCGCCCTCAGCAGTCAGCAGCTTCCCCAGATCACTCTATAATCACTTGCCATCATGCCCAACAAGACCCACGATTACGGTGACCTTCGCATTACCCTGACGTCCGAGTTCGACTGGCGCTGGGATGACACTGGCACTGGCGCGCGTCGTGACGGTGCCTTTTGGCATCCCAAGCCACAGGACGATCTGCGCCCTGTTGGGAGCGTTGTCTTCGAAGGCCACCCCAACCCTAATAACAATTGGGCCGCCCTTCTGATCGGCGACAGCCGGCCTCCACACGCGCGCCACAGCCCGGCCGTCCGCTCGCCAGAGCGCTACGATTGTGAGTGCGGCTTCGAGTCTGGCCACAATGCCGTTTCCTGATTCAATAGGCTGACGACATCATAACTAGGGGTCTGGAGCGACAAGGGCAGTGGCGGCAAGCACGACGTGTCCGTCTGGCGACCCGTGGCCCCGGCTGGCTATGTTGCGCTGGGCGATGTGGCCGTCCGGGGCGGCAGCGCGCCAGGCATCGACGAGATCTATTGCGTGCGCGAGGACCTGGTCAGGCCTGCCACCTACGAGGACAATCCGACCTGGGACGACAAAGGCTCGGGTGGCAAGTGGGATGCGTCCTTCTGGAGGATCTATCCGCGCGCGCCCAGTGCCAGTGACGACAAGGAATGGATCCCGGTGGTGGCAGGCTCGTTCCGCTTCAGCGCCGGGTACGGCCAGCCCAGCTACACCCTTGCCCGGGTGCCGCTGCTGCATCTGCCGCCCAGGCTCAAGGAGTTCTCGAACGAGCCTCCCGCGCTCGCCCCGGATAGGATTCCGGAGAACGGCGAAACGTTTAACAAGATGGAGCAGTCTTCGATCACGCTGCCTTTTACCTCCTTCTTCGATCCCAACGATCGCATTAGCCTCGACAACATCCACAACCCCTTCTGCACCGTCACCAAGAACGTCGCATGGGTCGTGCACGAAAAGGCCACTAACAACACGGCGAGCCCAGCCACGACCAATATCACTATCACGAAGGGCGGGCGCCAGTCATTCTCGCGAGAGATGGAACACCAGGCCGGTATAGAGATCGAGAAAGAAGCCGGCGTCTTTGGCCTCGGAAAGTTCAAAGTCACCCTCAACTATCAGTTCAGGTATTCGGAGACCAGCGCCTCCGAGATTTACAAAGAGCAAACCATCCACCAATCGGTCACTATCCCCCCTCATCATGTCTGCGTCATTTGGGTCCGACGCGCCGAATTATATGCCCGCCGCTCCGACGGCTCCCAGATCACCACCCAACTGAACTTCTCCACCAATGAAGAGTTTGCTATCTCCGAGGTGCCGATTAGGGCGTAGGAGCGCTACACATGAGCCCGGGACTCGGAGGTTGCTGCTTCCAGACAAGAATGTGGATGAAAACGTTTCAAGTTTGGGGATACGGGATCATAATATATCTGACTGATCAAGGACCGGAGGGGGTAGCACTGGTTGAAACTGAGGAAGACTTTTGGAAGGAGAGAAGTGGTGGCAAGAAGCCTTCCTGACAGGTACACGTGTCTTGCTATAGGTCCAATATACCACCAGCTCATCCTACAGTCCCACACTTCAGTAAATCATGATCGTCCTTTCAAGAAAACTGCGATTTCCAGCATACAGATGTGCTATAGTTTTGCGTCGAAAACAGAATAGAGACGCGAACTCTCATTCGACAAATCAAGGTAAACTAATATACATACCCTTTTCGGAAGACAATTACCATATTGGGCTGAAATCCAGAGCTTGGGCAAAATTACGTAAGATTATAAGACAAGCAGCAGTATGGGGCTCCGGAGCCAGAAACATCCTAGCCGTAGCGAGACGTGGACCCCGGGCGCCGAAGGGAGCACCGGAACGGGGCCGCTCGGGGCGTTCCCAGGAACCTGGTACACTAGGTAGGATTTAAATTTGGATCTTTCGACCGGCTCCACCTCCGAGGGTGCTGGGTTGTGGTCACGACGGCGGCGAGTAATAACACCTCTACTTCTCTACAATCATGGACACTTGGGAAAAACCCAGGGTGAAAAACCAGTACGTAGGGGCGGTACATGGAAGAGATAGGTGAGATAATGTGCCGTGCCAGGTCCCACCCACGCGCGGTTAATGGGATTTGAACCTTCAACTCAGACTCCCACCCGGATGGGTCCGGCCCCTTGCCGGATCCTCTGACATCGTGGGGTTGGATCTGCGCGCGAAAGGGGAATGGGGAGGGCGTAGGGTTGAGATGGGCTACCCCGTGGCGGCATCCTAGGCCTGGCCCAGGAGCTCGATTTGGGAGGATCTGGATCTAACAGTTGAAAGGAGGAACCAGAAGGCTCTGGAGTCCTGTCTCTCTGCTGAGGTATTGTTAAACGTGGTGAGCAGGCAAAGCGAAGAAGTGGCCTCTTGAGATCGCTCGTCCGGACTGGCAGGACTTGATCGCCTGCAAGGGCTGATTGGACTCTAAGAAGTTCTCGGGACCCGAACCCTCTGCGAGCCAGCGGGCCAGGCATTGGCGGGAGAAGCAGTCCAAGAAAAGCCTCGCTGTATGCCCGTCCCATTGGGCCGAGGGGGTTTGTTCAAGCGTCACCAGCCCCTCATGTCCGGAGGGAAGGAGGCCCAGTCACGCCTGGGACCCGGGTGGCGTGGATCCTATCGGGGTCGAGACCCGAGGCCCGTCCAACAGGAGGGAGTGGGGAGAAGTTCGAGTCGAGTTCAACGTAAACGTTCCGTTCTAAGCGAGGAACGAAGTGACGGGCGGAGTGCTGAGCTTAATTTTGTTAGCGCCTTGGCAAGATTTCCCTCCTGGGTACACAAGACGTCAACAAACTGTGACGCTTTGTACGAGATATGCCAAGGTTTTGTTTTGTCAAATCCTTGGTAACAATGCTAACCTAACATCCAAGAATGCCACAGAGCTTCGCACTAACAATTGAACACGGGGGTGAACTTTAGGTAGTCCCGCTCTCCCAGGCTGTCCCATATGGTTATTGTCCCTCCAACTCTATCTTTCATACAACTTTTCTTACCCGCAATCCTATACGCCCAAATCTCCTCCAATTACGAGCCACAAGTCACCCGTTAGTATAATTAACATCAATGTATCCCCTCTTAACTCATCTTCAACTATAATTTATAGCACAGTTATCAGCAGCCAGGCGTCAATCAGAACTTTGCTATGTCGCAGGAGGTAGAAATTCGGGTGCGGCACAGCCGTATATGGTTGAATTGACGGTGCTGACGTGTCGGAGGGATCCAAGCCATCGCAAGTTGAAAGCTGTGGACTTGGGGAAATGAGGGAGAAGAGGACTAAAAGGATCAAGCGGGAGTTGACTGAATGAAATGGTGAGAAAAAGACGGGACCCGTAACAGCTCCGTCCTGTTATTGAGTGTGCGCTGTGACACAAGGCGATCTGTAGCACTGAGGAACGCTATGTGTCACGACCAACAGGACCTACAAAGAGACGGCGCAAGCATAAAATGACAAATGAGAGGAATAGGAAACTGGGTCAGGAACAGTTAATGAAACGCAAAGGGAAAATATTGCAAAAAGTGCGATCTAGGGGCTTAAAGGCGCTATAAGACGAAGGATCCTGAGTATATAAGGTCAATAGATGCCTTATGAGAGAAGGGGACGAAGAACACGCCATTCAGCAATACAAAAAGTTGCACACACAAACTAGTGACCAAAACGTTCTCGGATCTATGTGAGAACTCCTGCCTCTCAAATCCAAAAGTCTTGATCCGGACCTGAACCCATCTTAGGACAGCTAGTTGAACCGTCGCACAAGATAAAACTCCAGATGCTAGCGGTTTCAGCACAACAAAGTGACTTACCTTTGCTAAGATCGGCAGAAGCAACTCAGTCAATAACTTCACTTAGGATGACAACCTTGAAATCGCCAAAGCAATGGCAAATGTTAACTTTTTCAGAACTACGCACGAGGTCGATGTGGTTAGAGATACGACCTAAAAAAGCCTTGTGGGGTTCATGTACTTGGGTAGGAAAAGCTATAACATTTCTTACATCAATAAAGTACCCAAAAACACCTACTTTATCGATCCTTACACCAATATCAACTCCAGCACCGCAGATTAATCCAAGTTATCTTTCGCATTGTACTTGTGCCACTGAATCAGCTCCTTCCGCGAAAGGAGATACTCATCAACAATCTTGCTAAACTATGGCATTTTCTATAGTATATAGTATAAAACCCAATCTCTCCACTCACGGCGCTCCGCCAAAATCTCACCTGCCCATTCCTTTAGCATATCTCTAAGGTCACAATCTTCGATAGCAATCAGGCGTTCCCAGCGTATATAAACATATAGCTCAATAGCTTTAAAGGAGAATAGCAATGAGTTGGGAGAATTTTGCGTTCGTGAATTAGGAATTTCCTCGTCATCGGGAAACAAAACCATATAGAGTTTGTTCCATGTCTTGATCTCTAAAGTTGGAGTTTTTGCCTGTCTTGACACCAATTCCTCCACACTCCTCTCTTTCTGGTGGCACAGCAAGGGTTGATCTCTGTAAGTGAGTTAGATTGCCATATAGCTTTTTTAATACATGAAACTGACGTGGTTTGATTGATATTCGCAAACCCCGCGTGTTTCTTCGGAAGGAACTATGCGGGGCCTTTTTTTTCCGGAACAAATAGTAGCTCTGTAATCGCCATTAGGGAAGCCTCCAGCGCTTCTAGCAACCACCTCTGTTCGAAAGGCTGCTCTCTACCGCTCGAAGATATCACAGTGGGAGGGGGGAAATGGGATAGTGTTTGAACAATATTGTTACACTGACACGGCAGCTCGAGGAAAAGGGGTATTCCTGACCGCCAACACAACGGACACCAGAAATAGATAATTGTGAGCGCACAAACCCGTGGTTGACCCCATGAGATATCTGGAGCCGCATGACCGAAAAAAATGAACCAGATGGCCAAGAGAATTTTAAAGGAAGCTAGAAAGCTAGCCGCACACGATGAAGGACTTCTCTTTGTTTTTTTCTTCTTCTGACACAATAACTCTAAGGTCCAAGAAAGATTATTACATATATTGATTGACTTCATCGTTAACCCCACATCGTCAGTGGCTATCATCTAACTGTAACGATCCAAACAGACCTCCTGAGATGGGTTCGAGAGTTGCCAGGCTGCTGGACTGAGAGATAGGAGTTCTCACACAACCAAGGTGCCCGTTGTGGTCACCAGTTGGTAAGCAACTGTTTGTATTGCTGACTAGAGAGTTCTTGGCCCCAAACTCTAGTGCGTGGTAATCATTCACTGATTGGCATTGTATTGGACCTAAACCGGGGTGGAAGCATCAGAATTGGTCACTGCGTTCAAGTGTCAGAGATCATAGGGTGATCTCTCAACAGATCTTTGAAGGAAAGTGGGACTTTGACCATAAGGCCAGGATATACAACTTTTTCGCGGCTTATGCCAGGAAAAGCGCTCTGAAAGATGTGCGGCCAAAACCAGCAGTCAAAATGGTCTTACAGCAGGGTTTCTGCAGACCTTTTCTCCATTAGTTCACATTGAGTGGTTCTTTTCCGAGGATTTTCGGCTGGCGTCTCATTTGCCCAAGTCTTCTATTTGAATGATGTGACGAGGGGCATCTTGTTTCGTTAATCGCAACGGCAACAGTCGTGCTGTCGGTCAATGTAATCGCCCCTATGAGTCATGGTAGACACAGAACAACCCAAAAAGAATTCTATTCTGGGACCGTCTCAGTTGCGGAGTATATTATCCACGGAGGTGATGTTGTGACATTCTTGGAGGACGAAAATGCAACGCTCCCTCACGTTGGAGCAAGTAATTCTGGGCCTTGGGAAGACGCGCCGATGAGGGGTGGTATTGCGTTTTAGTTCAACCATGAAGTTCCTTCTTGAATCGAGATTCAGCCGAGGATGTACCTAGATACCCAGTTATCTTGGAATGAGTTAACTTTGTATTGATTGGGAAGAGGTGATTTTCCATGAATGACTTTCCATGTTCTGGAATTATATTGGCCGGTTTAAATGTTCCAGTCAGAAGGCATGTGTATCTTAGGTCGTGGATCGACTCACAACTTGTCTCCGAACAGAGGCATAGTCCGAAGGATCTTGGATACCCCTCGGCTTATATGCTAGGGTGACATGAGCTTCTCAATTTGTGGGGCCAGTGTCCTCCTGCAGGGCTGACCAGGGGTTCTGCCTAACATCCACCAACATCCTTCAACCACCACCTTTGGGGCCCTCTTTGGGATTAATAATGTTATCCCATATCCTCGTGTTCGTTTCACGGATTTAATATTTGGCAAATATTCCAGCCAACCTTAGAAATACCACGCTAATGCAAGCAATGCTACCCTGCAAGATAACGTACTCGCAGGCAACATACTTCCAATCTTGTATCAGACGTAGCTTATGAGGGCGACCTAAGAACTACTCAGATCTCGCTCACCTGGTAACCTGACTCACCTCATTATCTTGATCATACCCCATCCCCAAACTTTCACATACCAACAATCTGCCCTCACCCCCTATTCGCCGTATATCTTTCCCCCGGCGAACGTGACCAGTCAGACCAGCAAGACCCTTTCCCAACTATTAGTCCCACGATGGAGAGTCCCCGCAAAGTCCCCGAAGTAGGTCTCACCGTCCTCTTCGAGTCCGCGTAGCGCCCGCCCGACCCCCAGTCCATCAAGACCGACATACACTGCGCCTTTTGTAACGACGTGCCCGAGGACCCGAACGCTGTCAAAGGCTTTGATGAACCAGAAGTGAAGAATGATCTTCACGATAAGTGCATTTCATGGGTTGCGCGTATGCGGCTTCCCCGAGTCCCTCCTCCAGTTTTTGACAAGTTCTCACTGTGACTTGTGAGAATAAACACACGATGGAAGCAAGAGAGCTGAGACATACTTATCTAACCAACCCACCGTGCGAACGGGTTAGGCCTACAGTTCTTGGTAATGAAGATTACACGTCCATCCGAGCATACACCTCGCCCTTCCCTCTAAAAGTTTACTGGAACAGCGCCCGTGCTCGCAATGAATTCGCTCTCCCCATCATTAATAACATCCCAATGCGACCAATCCATTACGAGATCTATGAACGGCCCCAATCCTCCAGCGACAATTCTTCCAGTGAAGACGACATCCCCACCACCCTAGCTCCTCACGCCCTTCCCGAAGCGATTCTAGTCCACATCAACTGCTTCAACCTCTACCGCCTGTGCAGCCACGCCCTCCGCAAGAGCAAGCTAGTTCCGGACAAAACAGAAGCCGACTCGCTCGACCGACTGTGGACGTACGCGCAGTGGCGCACAGGCTGGGATGGCGCACCGTCGCTGCACGGGCTGCTAACCGGATACATGCCAAGCGATTGGCGCCAAACAAGAGAACTGAAAACAAATGAATACTGGAACCGGGGGCTGCTGGGTTTTGCGGCACGTATGTGCGGTATCGGGTCGGGCATGGGGAAATTACCGCCGGAGTTGGTAAATACGATCTGGTACCAGTCGGAGCGCGCGTGGTTTTGGAGATTTGTAACGTATTTACGAATATGTTGTGCTATATGGTTTGCTTATAGGGAAGAGGGGGAGTATGAGAGGGATGTAAAGAGGATAGACCCGAGGGAAATTTTGTGTTGGGAGAGGAAGATGGGGATGGAGCAGCGCATGGATGTGGAGAAACAGCGAGGGAGGTGGCCGTGGATGAGGATAACGGTTGATTTGATTGGTATAAGGAGGATTGAGAGATTGGGTGAGAGGCCGAGGTATCATGGGGAGGATACGGAAGAAAACGGACTGCAGTATGGGTATGCCATGGTCAATGTTGATGAGCTGAAGGGCGTGATAGCTGAGGTCAAGGTACGTTTCCCTAACGTTTGCCTTTTTGTTATAGAGGCGTTTCGTCGTTACTCACCTACCAACCAATGTCTAGCACAAGCGACTTCGGCTTCGTCTCCCCAGAGGACTTCCCTCCCAACCACCAACGGGCTTCTACATCTGGAACACTGAATGCCCTCCACTTATCTCTGAATGTCGTATATATGGCGGTTGGAAAAGTGACCCCGACTGTAATGGTCTGCGCCGCTGGTTCGGCCCGTATGATCCATACAACAGCCGAATGCTTAAAGCCACTCGTCTCGATCACCCCTCCATTCGAGGCATCACCTTCTTCCTAGACAGAGTGGATGCCAGGCCGCTGGGCATGCACGTTCACTGGAAGAATCATTGTGAACAGTGCATTTATCTATATGATCAGTCCAATGACAACGGGCCGGGTGACGCGGAAATGGCTATATTTCCGGGAAAAACTAGTGTGGAGTGGTACCCCCTCTACTTCTATGTCCCGATCGGAAAAGACGACAAGATCGTGGGCTTTGGCATACTGAGAACCAAGGAACCCATACTGCATGGGACAGAGCTCGCCACGAAGATGGTACCGCATGCCTTGATGGTGCGGTTGGAGCATGCGGGGGATATCATCGCGAGTCAAAATCATCTCGTGAATAAGCCAATGGAAACTTTCGACTGGTGTCTTGCGCAGAGCAGGGGGTCTGGGCCGGTAGCGCTTGTGTACGGAGTGCCTCACTACGGCTGCCTGATATGGGAATGGTTTGGCGGATATGACGGAACGAATCCTGAGAAGCATTGCCGGTTTGAGCCCAAATTCGAACTGCCGCCAAGCTTGAAGCACCGGGGTTTGAATTTCAGTGATTGCGACGATGCCATCTACACATGGGCGCCGTTGGACGGTCTCGAATCAGCCACTGAATATCACGACGGTTTGCCCAAGTACGGCTATGGAAGCAGCGGGATCCTGCTTCGGTATAACGACGGTTCGCAAAGAACAGTGGGTGAGTGTTCGATTACACTTTCTGAACATAACGACTATCATGAGCCGAAGACGGTCCATTGGACAACTACGTCAACTGGTCGCTATCTAGTGGGGTTTTCCCAAGATGACTCAGAACGGTCGACGCGACGCTTTCAGGGTTGGGAATCAGCGCCGGCTAAGGGGCGTATCGAGTTCTGGAACCATTATTGTGATGGATTGAGCAGGATCCTTATATCCTCTTGATCCAGAAAATGACAGCAGAGACCGTTCTGCGGGAGCGCCAATCGAACGCTCCCAACTACGTTGCAACCGAATGGGCAAAGCATCCTTCTTTCCATCGATGTTCTTCAGATGGTTGGAACTGTCATAGGGGCATGGCATACCATGGAATGATACATTTGAACTCTCGCTACACCCTCCCATCCCTACCCGTAAAGCGCACACAGCTGCAATGAGTGTTCACAGTCCTGGTATCTTTCTGGGTAGTCTTGTTAGCGGGAGACTCTGAGTCCAGGGTCAGACGAACGGCATTGCAGCTCCACAGAAGAACTGGTTTCACAGCAAGTGGTATTGCGAATAGATACGTAGTCCATCATTTAATCAAGCCAACGGCTCTCAACGAAAGATGCTGGTTTTTACCAGAGACATCACAAGTCACTCTGGAAAAGATTGACCAGGACAACCGTCCAAAGTTTTGCGTTAACAGTCAAGGTTAAACCATATCCGGAGGAACGAAAGCCCGGTGGCACTCTGATCCAGATTACTTATCTCAATCATAACCACAAGAAGCACTCAGGCAGAGGCGTATACGTGTTCCCAACTCAGCAGTTCAGTATGAAGGCAAGGTTGAAGCCATTTCATCGCAGTATCCTCACTCTCAATCTCGAAACCTCACTTTACGAGTAAACCACGATATGATCTAGGCATGGATCTGCCCTCTTCCTAAGCCCCCGGACTTGCTTACGCTAGAATTAGCTTCAGTTTCATTGATCTCCGGGACTTCGAACAATTTTTTTTTGTAATCTCCCTCGTCACTTTTCCCCAGTATCCCTGAGGAAGTGGCATTGTGTCTCGTCATCCCATTGTCATGTTGAACTTTCCAAATGTTTTACTCTCGCACTCGAAGGGGCCCTGTCCTGCCGATTTTCACTCTGCCGTCTGCGGCAGCTTTCCTGTTGACCCGGGCGACGCTGAGTTCATTGCACGTATGTTGATCTGAACTCCTACGTTCTCATCTCCGGTCCCGCCTGTATTGTATTTTTGTTACTTCATCCATCGAACGAATTCAAACGTCTCTAACTTCCATGCCATGAAATACAACCGACTCTGAGGCGTCGTCGACTTACAACACTTTCCGGGGATGCACTTCTCCTCTCACAATCACAGTGTCTGGCTGTCGCCCGGACACAAAATCTTCCATCAACGGCGTTGACTTAAATAAGGTTTCATTTACGTGAGATGCGTGGCAGAGTATTTCCAGAGGCAATCCTTGTGCACGAAAATTGTCTCAGCCTCAGGGCTTTGGCGAGCACTTCCTCGGCTACTTCAGGCGTGAATAACTAGCCAAATGGTCAGGGGAAAAAAACTTCCTTTTCATTCCTTTGCGCTAAGAACGCATGATTCATGTTTCGTGGAATGAGACGGGTATGGTTTGCTGGAAAAGAACAGAGCTGCCGGTCGTTGTTGGCTCAAGGAACTTAGAAAGAAAGAATACCTAGCTCGGACTTTGAGAGCTCTGTCGGATGCAGAAAACAAAAAGATAATACATGATAACAGTTCGATCTTTGAGAGCGGCCTTAAGGTCCCACCTGAATTTTAAGTCAATCGGGACATTCTAGAGTCGGGTAGGGAAAATTTGAACCCCGAATCTTAAGGTTTAGGACACGACACACACACAACCACCCGTCCTCTTGTCAATGGCGATGGAGATGGTTACCCGAGCGTTCCTCATTTTAAAACACTTTTCGCACGCTGTCTTGCCCCATCAGCCAGGCACAAAACCACTCACAATGCAACATTTGCTCGCAAGCGACGTGCAAGTAGCAAGACCGATTGATCGAGTGGTCGTCCGAGTGTGGAGGCCGCTAGAAAAGGAGCCTCGGCATCTCCACGTCCCCGCACCGCAAGATCCGGGGTAAAAAGTGGGGAGCCACATCTCGGAGACAGCGGTTGGCGGGCAGCTTTTAAGACATGTGACAGACCATCACTGGATCGGTAGGTAGCACTTGGAGTGAGATTGTGTCTTACATTTTTGCAACTTACCTTCGTCTTCGATATTAACATAGGTTGAACTTTCAAGTTCATTCCACGAGGTCAACATCAACATCAGATATAACAATAACATCATCATCATCATCATCATCATAATCATCATCATAATCATCATCATAATCAGCAGCAGCAATAAGCAACCATGGCGCCTAAGCAAAAACGCCCTGCCTACGTCCTCGGTGTGGGTATGACCAAGTTCATCAAGCCGCGCGGCCAGGTCGACTACACGGAGATGGGCTACGAGGCAGGCATCAAGGCGCTCCTTGACGCGCACATCACCTACGACGAGGTTGAGCAGGGCATTGCGTGCTTCTGCTACGGCGACTCGACCTCGGGCCAGCGCGTCTTCTACCAGTTCGGCATGACCCAGATCCCCATCTACAACGTCAACAACAACTGCTCGACGGGCTCGACGGGCCTGTTCATGGCGCGGAATATGATCGCTTCGGGCGCCGCGGACTGTGTCATGGTTGTCGGATTTGAGAAGATGATGCCTGGTTCGCTGCAGAGCTTCTGGAATGATCGGGAGTCACCTTTGGGAACGTCATTCGCGGTTATGGCGAAGACGAGGGGCGTTGCCAAGGCCCCGGGTGCTGCGCAGCTGTTTGGGAATGCCGGGAGGGAGTATATGGAGAAGTATGGCGCGAAGGTGGAGGACTTTGCGGAGATTGCGCGGATTAACCATGCGCATTCCGTGCACAACCCCTATTCTCAGTTCCAGGACGTGTATACTCTCGAGCAGGTGCTCAAGTCGCCGATGATCCACGAGCCGCTTACCAAACTACAGTGCTGCCCTACCTCGGACGGCGCGGCTGCTGCTATCATTGTGTCGGAGGATTTCCTCAACAAGAGGCCGGAGCTTCGTGAGCAGGCTGTCCTCATCGCCGGGCAATCCCTGGCTACCGACTCGCCCGCTCTCTTCTCCTCCTCCGCAATCGACCTGGTCGGCCGCGAAATGACCACCCGTGCAGCGAGCATCGCCATGGCTGAAGCCGGCATTACTGCTGCAGACGTTGACGTCTGCGAGCTGCACGACTGCTTCTCCGCCAACGAGATGGTTCTCCTGGATGCGCTTGGCCTGGCCGAGCCCGGAAAAGCCCACGAGTTGGTCCGCGCCGGCGGCATCACCTACGGCGGCAAGGTCTTGGTCAACCCGTCCGGCGGCCTAATTTCTAAGGGACACCCGCTCGGGGCGACGGGCATTGCACAGTGCGCGGAGCTGGTCTGGCATCTGCGCGGGTGGGCAAACAATCGGGCGTTTGATAAGAGGCCGACCAAAATCGCGCTGCAGCATAACCTCGGCTTGGGCGGTGCGGCCGTTGTGACGGTGTATAAGCGGGCCGATGGGAAGGAGGCGAAGGTGCTGAGCAATGAAGAGGTTGGCAAGAGGAATGGGTTGGGATATAACCCCGCTGTTGAGGCGAAGGGCATTACGAAGGAGCAAGCGGCGAAGGTTAGGAGTAAGAAGTGGAGTCCTGTGTCGATGGTTAAGACGAAGGAGTTGATGCAAGCTAGGGGCGGGAAACTTTAAATTTTACGAGATACTTGGGATGATTTTGTTGGTTTCGTCTAATGTTGTTTTACTTTTGGATGACAATGCCATTGTTGGTCGTTTGAATGATGATTACTTGCATTGAAGCTTGGCTTTCACCTAATCGAGTCTTGCACAGTTGAGCTTGGCGCCAAGAGAAAAGGTCTTGGCACGGCTCCATTTTCCGAAAGGTGGGGGGGGGGGGCTTCGAAGGCCCATGCTCAGTCTGGGGTTCTTCTTCCATGAAGCTTCGACTGAGACGATCACACGCTTCCACGGCAAAGCACGACTCCGGAGATTTATGCGACCGCTGCACGGGTGCACGGGTGCAAGGGAGCCTATTGCTCCTGTGTCCTATTGTGCGACTTTACGTCTGCCAGATAGTAGAAATCGAGTTCTCAATTCGTTTTTCGACTTGACCAATTGAGTTAGCGGCAGCCCCTCTCTTGTCTCACCATCCTCACCCCTCTCGCTGAGTCTTTCAGCTGCTTTCTCCTCCAATCGATGCCATCGCAATTTCTCGCTGCTCTCTGTGCCCTCCAATGGAAGCATGCGTCACCACTCTTCGCGTGCTGGACGCAACGCCCACCCTCCTATCGCACAATTCGTCCCCCCGGGCTCTGCTCTAACGTTTGTCGATCAGCTTTATCGTGTCTCCGTTTCATAGGCTTTGTCGGCACCAATGGGGGTCTGTTCCAGCAGTTTTTGTGTTCTTCCGTTTCCCATAGGTGACCGAACATCAGCATCTCAACAAAGATGGAACGCATGGAAGTATGCTTCATCTATCACGGGCGTTCCGGTCTTTATTTGGGTTTGGCCTCGACCGTCTGTGTTGTCTTGCTGGGCCCGTTTCCAGAAATGGACCAGGCCTGTCGTTTCTCCGATATTCCTCGTCCTTTACCAGGGCCATGATCGCTGGCTATTGCGTCTTTCTCGCCTTCCCATTCGCCTAATAGCCTATTTTGCCCGCAGCGAACCCAAAAAAGCCCCGCGAATGTTTTTGCCCGCCGTGGCAATGTCTCCGATCCAATCTGGGATCGTCGTTCGCCTTGAACCTAGTGCAGCCCACGTTCCACACCCTGTCCGCGGCGGCACGTCCTCCACCGTTAAGACCTGTCTTATGCCCTTCCAGATCCCTCTGAAACAGCCCTGTGCAGTGTGGGGAGGGGGGGGTTCGTTCAAGTCAGGCCGCTCTCCGGGCCCTTGGGAGTCTCGAGCATGTATCATGCCCGGAAGCTGACCCTCCTGCTTAGGTAGTACTGCTTGGATCTGATCAATGAACTGCTTCGGTGGGATGTTTGAGTTTCGCACCCTCGTTCACTGTCCATTTGATCACCCGTCTGCTGCCGTCTGGACACCCACGCTTCCCCGGTTCTTTAGCCGCTCCGTCGGCGACACCGTCAACACCTTGACACTTGGCACTTCCCCTCCTTGGGGCCTTATGTAGCCGAGTCCTTAAACATCACGCCCTCCCCCACCAAACGGGTGCCCCTCCCATCTGGCTGATTTGGGGGGGTTTATGTTCTTTATGGCCTTCTTTTGGTCCACCTTGTGAATGGTTACTCTCCGTGAATCCATCATCCTGTGTTACCTACGCGAGTAAGGGTGACAGCCGTGCGAAGCAGCGCTAGTATCATGACCAGCACGACCTACCGGGCCCCGACGTTATAGAGCACGCGGACGCCCTCCTCGTCGCCATGGCTGCCCCCGCAGCCGACCTCTCGGGAGGACCGGCCCTTCTATCCATCTCGCTGGCCACCGCCGCCGTCGCTTTGGCTACTACCGTTGTACGGTTTTGCACACGCGCTGGGATTACGGGTCGTTTTGCTGCTGACGACTATACGAGCGGCGTCGCTGCTGTGAGTTCTTGCCAAAGATGTAATTGGTCTGGATTACGGCCTAACATTGGACAGATCGTGGCATTCGTCGGCACCATCTTTGCCATCATCGAGAGTACATCCGACAACCCAGTCCGCGCCCTCGAGTTCGACCTGCTCGCCCAACCGTGGTATCTTATGAGCGCCACTCTCAGCAAGATCTCCATGTGCCTCTTCTTCATGAGCATGTTGGGGCGCGCCCGTCACTGGCGCATTTTGTTGGGCGTGTTTATTTTTACCATGGCCGCCGTCAACCTGGCCTTTGCACTGGCCGTCAACTTGCAGTGTCGTCCGCTCGAAATGCTGTGGCGGCCTGATGCCGAGGGGGAGTGCTGGAGTCCGAGTGTTCAGATGAATATTGGCTATGCTCAAGGGGGTGAGTAGCTACGCAAGCAATACGTACGGGCATTTCAAAAACTGACGAGGTTAGCTTTTTCGGTCTTTTCCTGGGTCTTCTTGGCCTTCTTCTCAGCTCTTGTTGTAGGATATACCAATCGCCGTGGCAAGCCAAGATGGCCGTTTTATGTGACTTCTCTGTTGAGCTTCATGTATGCCACTAGATCTCTTTGGTCTGAACTCCTGCTGACCTCATTCAGTGCTGGCATATTTACCGTAGTTCGCACCGCGAAGACGACTGAAACAGTTGGCAAGGTTATTTACACAATTCACCACTTTTACGTCAGTCTCATGGCAATGTATGCTTTTCTTTACCCTCTTTTCAGTATCATTCGTAGCTGACATGTCAGTCTTGAACAAAACTTTGGCCTTGCAGCCGCTAATATTCTTGTCTTCGGCCCCCTCTTCTCTTCTTCTTCTTCTTCTTCCTACTCCACCTCCGGAACCGGCGGAACCTCGGCGTCTCGTTCAACAGCAAGCCGTCGTAGGAGACGCAGAACACACACACCTCTCAAAGATCCATACAGCACCACCTCCTCTTCATCGTCAGGAGTAGGCAGCCATTCTCGAAGCCACAGCAGGAGTCACAGTAGGAATCACAGTAGGAGCCATAGCCGCAATCACAGCATCAGGAGCATTCAGCGGCCTGAGATGGAAGTTCCGCCGATTCCGACTAGTTTGAAGGCTGGAACCGAGAACAATACCTACCTAGAGGGGCTAGAAAACACTACTACTAATCTTAATAACACCAAAGGGAAGGGCGTCGCAGTAGACGAAGAGAGGGCCCTCGAGAGCACTGGGCCCTCGTTACGCACAGAAGGAGAGCCAGCATCATCCGGCCCATCGCACTCCCGCTCCCGACCGAGCGACCAAGCCACCTACACCGCCTTCCCCGACTCCTACACCCTTTCCGATGCTACATCCCTAACCGATTCCTCCACCTCCACCTCCACCTCCACCTCTGACCTCTCCGACCTCTCCGAAGAAGAAGACTTCGACCCCGACGCAATCGACCTCTCCGCCTGGCCCCGCGGCATCATCAAAACCGTCTCCGTCGACGTCACTGAGGAACGCATCGATCCCCCGCCCGGCATGCCCATGCCCATGCCCATGCCCATGCCCATGCCCTTCCCGCAGATTCCGCGTCCTGCGCTGAGTAGGAATAATAGCGGTACTTCTAGGCCAGGGCCGTCGACTACTTTACCAAACACCGGAGTGCCGAATGATGTGGTGAATGAGGAGATCGCCAAGACATACGATACGACGCATGCTCCACCTGCGGTGGGCGGAGGAAGGAGCAGCGTGTCGATTACCAGTCCGAGGGGGAGCATTAGTGTCGGGGTGGGAAAGCGGACGTATGGGGGGCATCATCATCATGTGAGGAGTCATAGTCGGCAGCCGAGTCGGTTGCGGGGACTAATAGGGGGAGGAGAGCGGGATGAGGACAGGGTGAGTGAAGAGGAGGATGAGTATGAGGGGACGGGAGAGTTGGAGCAGGATTGGGAGGCTATTTTGAGGGCTGGGCCACCAGGGCGGAGGTGATTTCATTATGATGAAGGAGGGGGACGATAATGGTTGCTGTTTTATGATATATTAGCTTATGAGGGGGAGAGACACCACAGGGATAGATGGAATTACTTGGGCGGGGATGGGATAGATAGACCTGCACATTCGTTTGGATTATGGGTGGCGTTGAGGGATTATCTCTATGTTCATAGATACCATAGGCACCTGGTGATTGGGAACACAATATTGAGGAGGCATTTTGTTTTTGGAGACACTCTAAAGGGAATAAATAAGTAACACCAAATCACCCAGGATACAGGCGGTCTGTATAGACTGAAAGTATATATGCAGATCGAAATGATCATCCTTCTTACCTGGATGCCCACTAATCAAGGTTTCAGCTCCTAGTGCAGGATTTAAGGCATAATGTGCCAATTGCTCAAACCCATAGGTAAATTGCTCATAAATCAGATCCTATATACAAGCCAATATAATACACTTTTAAACCATCCTTAACCCTCGCTCCGGTTTGTAGTAGTATAACTCACAGTTAATCCCTCCTCCTTCCATGTGTCACTGACCTTTTCTCTATTCCCCTCCTTGTGTTAGTCGTGATGAACGATGTCTCTCCCTCCCGCCCGCCGATGCTATCTTGGCTGGCCCCCTAAAGTAGTGCGTTCTATATATGCGGGTGATCATGTTAAGTACTTCTTCCATGGGGTTTGCTTATGTAGGTACGCTTTGAACTCGTCCCTCGGTTTAGATGCTGCTCGTTAGTCCCCCGACTCGCCTCGCAATGCCATGCCCAACATCCCATAAATATAAGTAGAATATTACACCTCCAGGGAAAAAAAAAATAAAAAAAACCACCAACAGCGCTTCAACGAAATTTTCACATATGGTAGACCCTCCCTTCTCTCTAGCGGGCCAACAATGCTGCTACTACTTCCCAAACCCTCGATTAACCAATCCACTCAAAAAATCTCCCATAAACTGCTCCTCCTCTGGACTGAGCGCCCACCGCGCCTTCAACACATCATACACCTCCAGCACCCTCCTCTCCCTACTCCCCGCACACTTCGCAAACGCCCTCAAGCACCAAATAGCCAGCCACGTCCGCACTTCTATTCCCCCCTCCCCCTCCTGAGCAGCATCAAGCGCCTGCAACAATGCATTCCAAATCCCTTCCAGCCGCTGCTCACTCCACGGTGAACGAGGATACCCCCCATGCCGGGCGAAGCCTTTGAATAAAGCTAAAAAGATGCTATGGTGGAGGGGGATATGAAAGTGTTTCATGTCGTCGAGGTAGGCCGCTACGCGGCCCAAATCGCCGCGCTTCACACCGTAGTGGTTGGCCAGAATGCGGTAGGTCTGCAGGTCGGGCGCTAATGGTGCCATATCTTGGAGGTGAGGTTGAGCGTGGGGGTGGCGGCGGGAGAGTTTAGAAAGCATAAGGAGTGCTTGGGTGATGAAACGGTCGCTTAGAGGCGTTCGGACGGGGAGGATAGGAGGTGAGTTGGGGGAGAAGGGGTTTGTTGAGGAGGGGCCGAGGGAGAGGGCCTTCATGCGCTCGTAGATGCGTTCGGCAGGGGCTTCTTCGCCGGAGCGGAGCAGCCCCGATATCATGGCGTTGAGGACCACCGTATCGATTATTTCGCCTGCTTCAACCATCTCGCGGTAGGCGGCACGCATGCCGGAGGTGTCATGCTTGAGGCCGAAGAAGTGGATCAGGGAGGTGTAGTGGTAGCGGTTGTAGCGGTGGCCACGGGACTCCATTTCGCGGTAGATCATCTCCGCGAGGGGGAAGTTGCCAGCCTTGGTGGCCACGTCGAAGAGGATGTTGAAGGTGACGTCTGTTGCGCGGATGCCGGCCTCGAGCTCCATCTCACGCCAGAGCTTGAGGGCGGTGTCAACTTCGACGTCGGTTACGCGGCCGACGTACTTAGTGGCGAAGACGATGGCGCAGTTCCATTCGGCTGTTGTGAGCGGGATCCCGGTGTTTTTCACGTCGGCGATGACGGCGAAGTAGCGCAGCATGCTGGCTGAGTCGCGCTCGTCGGGCTGGCCTAGGGCGCGAAGTAGCTGGTGCCGGAAGCGTGCGTGGAGATAGAGCATACGCGGTTCGGGAAGGCGTTGGTAGAGTTCGTAGATGTGGTCGAGGTCGACCTTGTGTGGGCTACGCAGCCGGGTGAGGACTGCGAAGCGCAGTTCCCAGAGGACGTGGCGGGTCCCTTCATCGGCGGGTTCAAGGACTTGCTCGAGGGATGGGTACTCTTCGTCTTCAGCCGTTCGGGCTAGGGTAACTTTGGGCTGCTCGGGTTCGGCATAGCCCCGCATGTAAGGGTCCCGGAGGTATTGGAGGTAGTCCTCGACGCGGCCGATTTCTTCGGTGTCATCGTAGGGGTCGACTAATGCCAGCAGCTCTTCTTTAGTGAGGGGGCGTCGTATTGGCTTCAGATGCTTCTGCTTCTTCCTCGTTTGGGGCTGCTGTGGAGTAATTGCTGGGCCAGTTGTGGTCGACGGATTAGGAGAGGAGGATGAAGGTGAGGGTAATGGCTGAGGTTCAGGAGCAGCGTAGCCCTCATGCTCTGGTTCAGGGCCAGAGTTCTCTACCGTCGCAGCAGCAGCATGGTTAACACGCACAGCGGCTGGGTCGCCGTCAAAGCGCAAACGTGATGTTTGAAGAGCTTGAACGCATAGCAGCAAACGCCTCCTTGAGCTCGAGGAGAGTGTTAGCGGGGAGGGTCGTCGACGGGTAGCGAGCAGCGAGAGACACCGTCGGGGCTGCTGTGACGCAGTCGGCAGACGGGAGGAGGAGCAGCTGGAAGGGCTCTGGGCCGACGAGCGCAAGGACGGCGAGGGCCTAAGGGGCGACAATGGGGGGTACAGGACGTGCAGGATCGCGCCGCATATCGACCCGTCAATTCGGCTGGAGACTCTCATGAGCTGTCGTCCAACATCCTGGCTGTCCAGCCTGTCCAGCCCAGCCTCGTGCCTGTGCCCCGGGTGTTATGGCGAGCGCTGGGGAGGGAGAGGTTGTGTCTGGATCGTTGTTACAAGGGGCGTTGATGTTGTCGCTGCCAAGGTGGTGATGGTGTTGCAGGTGCTTGAGCTGCTTGATACCGATAGGAAAAAAAGTGCTGCTGCGCTGAATGCTTATCGCAAGTGGGGCCCGATACGGGTTTTGGCGGGGACGCGGGGTTAATGGCGAAACCCAACCCCGAACCCGAACCCTGGCGTCTAAAATTTGGGCTTGGCTTTTGCGCTCCACCGAAAATCATCATGCAAAGTGCCGCCGCACGCCGACGACCAGAGTTTGGAGACAACAGCCTTGGAGGGGCAAGCACGAGCCGACTCCCCTCGATGGTGAAGGCCTAGACGTCGCAGCCCTCAATTGACGAATTGAGGATCCTTCCAACTCGACGATTGTTCGTACCCGCGTCGAGCAAAACTTAGTTCAGCTCCTTGGACAGCCCAATTCGAGCGAGCAAACAATACCAAAGTCAACATGGTCCGCGGCCGGCAATTCGTCGCCGCGCGCGTCTACGACACGGTGCAGGCCCTGACTGCTAACCCGAAATACGTGCCGCCGCCATGGCTCCAGGCGCTGACGCACATCCCGCCCTCCGAGATTCTTACTCGGCCCTACCCGATCCAGCACACTGACCCGAGCCGGCGCGACAGGGGAAAGCGCAAGATCCCCGGGCTGTACCGGCCAACCAAGATTGTGCATCCCGAGGACTCCCTGCGCGCTCAGTTCTATCGTGATCACCCGTGGGAGCTGGCCCGCCCTAAGCTGCTGCTGGAGTTGGATGGTCAGGATGCGAGATATAGGGATTGGAGTAAGGGGCTTAGGCAGCCGGGGATGGCGCTGAGCGGGGAGTGGTAAGTCCAGAGCAGGAGAGGACAGAATATATGTGAAGTTAAGTTGATCCATGCTGACAGCCTGCAGCGTCGTGCAATACCAACTCTGGCTGATGGAAAACAAGGGCCTCTCCCGTCGCAAAGCCTACGACATCGCGCGTAAAGAGTTCTACAAGCTCCGCCAACAAGAAGAGATCGAGAAGCGGGTGGCTGTCGAGGAGGCACGCTACTACGGTGCCTACTTTGGCAAGTCGGATCTGCAGGTTGGCATGGAGCTGGAGGATGCCGCATACGAGGAATGGAAGAAGTGGGCTACGGCAGAGATCGAGCGCATCGAGCTCGAGCGCATGGCCGCGTACACTGAGGTGATTGATACCACGGGCGAAAGTGGTGCTGCGTTGGACGAGGATGTTGAGGCGAACTAGGGGGGGGGGTTGAAAAAAGGTTGAGAGGGAGAGGCCCTCCCTCGTGTATTTGTATGGATACCATAATAGACAATGTACGACTGGTTGGGATCACTTTTTCCTCATTCTTCTAGATCTCCTTGCCGACCAAACCTTCAAGATAAACCGCTCCCTTGACCCGCCCCTCCAACTCCCGATGCTGCACAATAAACACATCCGCAAACCCCGTTAGATTAAACAACCTCCCCGTCAGACTCAACGTCCTTGACCGTGCCCAGCTCTCAATGTACACCACCCGGGCCCGATCCAGCGGCACAATCCCCAACAACTTCAGCCCATGCACCACAGCCCCAACAATAAACCCATTCGCCGGCCCATTCGTAACTAACACATGCGCCCACCTGAACCCAGCCTGCCCCCACCTCGCCTTAGGCGGGACTACAACCGCCCTAATAGCCGCAATCGCGGCTCTTAGACACGACCAAGGCGCAGTCCAGAAGCTCTGGTGCACTTTCCTCGCCCGAGGAATGAGCACCACATCTGTTGTTCCCCATAGTCTCTCATCCCCCAGTTGGCGACATGCCTTAGCGAAGCTAGTCTCGAGCTGTGCGGCGCGAGTCAGAGAGGAGGTGTCGTTGACCGAAATGATGTATCGACGATGGGTGTTGGATGCCGGTTGCCAGGAACGGCGGATGGTTTCAAGTAGCTCGGTAGTATGACCGCCTGAGCCGAGAATGTAGGTTGTGTAGGCGGCGGGGAGGGAGGTTGTGGAGGGGAGGGCGTTGCGGGGCGAAGTTGAGGAGGTAGGTCTGGGGGTTGATGAGAGGGGGAAGGATTGAGCAGAGGGGGAATGGAGTTTTACGATGTGGTGACGGTACTGGAGAAGTTAGTCATTCGCTCAGGGTTTGATATTGGGGTAAGAAGGAATCTTACCAATAGAAAGGCTACTAGGCCTGCCACCAGCAGTACAGACCATTTCAGAGGAAGTAGGACTAGTGTGATGCCAAAGATGCCCGCCCCAGCGATTAGCACGGCAAGAAGAGTGATCTCCACATCGTCTGTGGAAGAAAATTCTTGAAGCCATTTCCGGACCAGCTCTTTGACCTCACTTGAACTGTCGCAGGACTGTGTCGTACCAGGTTCTTGCCCCTGGGCAGCCATCCCGGTGTGTGCTACGTCGTTGGACTCGTCCAAAGAAAGCACAACAAGCAGTAGATATCGAAGTATGCAACATAGAAAGAGTGTTCCGGAAACTTGATGTCGGAAACCGTCGTCTTTCCTTTGGACTTGACGGATGAGGATAGAAGATGCTTCTTCACTCTCGAATGGGGTCCCAGGATAGGCAAATAAGATCGTCTGAGATCTGTTAGCAGATGGGCTCTGTTTCAGTCATACAAAGTCATTTTTATATGATCTACCGAGTTTTGAAAAGAAGTGAGACCTTAATTTCTCAGTCTCCGATTGAAGGATGGAACAATGAACAAACTTACTGCTCACACAATGTACCAAATGATGAAGCGAGCAGCTTGGAGAGCTAAAACATGAGACGAGGTTGAAACTTAACTAAACTCAACGCCAGATATGAAATCAATGAACAATTAACCGTCTGAATCTTATTCCTGAGATTGACGATCTCACTCAGTCAGATGTTGTCTCAGTCCCAAGCGTATGTAGTGTCAGGAAGTACATGCTAAGTTTCTAAGCTACGTATGTCGGTTAAGACCACCAGTCTGCCAAGAGCTCCCCCAAACTCATATGGCCCGTGCACGCGGCTCAACACGCTCGTGCCAAGACCTCAACCCCACCAGGTTCCACATGGCAGGGTTGGTGCAACAAGCTCAAGGATCAGCTAAAGAGCATCCGAAAACACGACCGCCCGGCAGAATTCAATCTCGCGCGCTCTCATCATCCATCTCCATCAACCTTCTTGCTCCATAAAACCATTACTTCTTTCACGCGTTACACCCAAACAAGCCATCAATCCTCTATTCTAACCAGTACAAGCACATTATGCCCTTACAATGCCCCTCCGTACCCGCTACCTAACCTGTTTCTACTGCGGCCGCCGCACCTCGACCCGCTGGGACCGCTCCATCCGCCGCTTCGACTGCCCTTCCTGTGAAGCAACTAACTACCTTGATGAAAACGGCGACATCACCGATCCCCCCGTCGCGACGGACACCGAAGCTACCCCGAAGCGTCTTGCAATTGCGCGTCCCTCATCCCCCATGGGAAGCCCCACGAGCGAACGCATCTTTTGCGACACCTGTCTTAAGAACCAACATCTTCTGAGCGCGAGCTTGGCTCAATACCTTCCCGACCCCGATGAGCCAGACTATGCCGAGCGCGAGGCGAGTTTAGCCGAGTTTCGTGCTGCGCAGGAGAGGTTGTATCCACAGATATGTCCGGAGTGCGAGCCGAAGGTACGCGCTCGGCTGGGGAGGGCAGAGTACACTGCAAAAACGGATGCGCTGCGGCGCATGGTTGATCGCAGCGCGGCTGTGCGAAAGGAGGTCATGTCGCGAAGATGGTTGGAGATGCCGCATGCGCTGGGAAAGAGGTTACGGGAGATTGGGTTCGTCTTGCAGCTTGTGTGGCATGCGGCCGTGATGAATGGGCTGTTGTTGGCGTATCTTGTGTGGGCGGGCTTGGGGGAGGGGGTGTTTACGATGAGGGTGTTACGGGTGTTTGCGCGGGTGTTGGGTTGGTTGCCTGCGCCGGAGAGGTTGCTGAGCTGGAGTGTGTGGTCAGGGGTGATGGGGGTTTGGTGGAATCCGCGGTTTGCGCATACCATGCAGGGGTTTACGAAGCCCGTGGAGGGTGTACCGATGTGGTATATTTGTCAGGTTGTGGCGATTGGGTTGCGGGTTTGGTTGCAGAGGCTGGAATTGCTCGCTCTGGCGGACCCTTTCTTGATTAACAAGCAGTTCTTAGTCCATATGGCTGCTGTACTAATCGCCATTCTCGTAAGCGCCTTAATCTAGAACATGATCTTCTGAACGATGCTAACCGACTCTTTCCCAGATCTTCATCCTCTCCCCACGCACAATCCACCCCAGCAAAGCGCCCCTGTTCGGCAACACCAAACCTCGTCGTCCGAACAAACTGCATAAATCCCCCCCTCGCAGACGCGCCGGCACTCGCAAAGCCCAACCCCGCGGTGTCGACACCCGCCCCGACGAGCTCAAATCTATGGCCGAACTCCTCGACGAAATTTCGCGCTCCCCCACCTCAACCAACAACCCCCCCAGCCCAGTCGAAATGTCCCCCGCCATCTCACGTACCCGGCCCCAGCCCCCCATGGGCCACGCACACACCCTCGCCGCGCAGAACATCACCGCTTCGCTGCAGAGGATTGATTCGCTGAATATTTCGCGTTCCTCTCCGGGGACGAACTCCTCCCCCTTTGTTAACGGGGATTATGGATCGGGAAGCGACGAAATGGACTGGACACCCACCCCATCTACGTCATTCATTTCGCCCTATCGGGCGTTTAATACTCGTGATCAGCGCCCTGCCCAGCCATTTGGTGCGGCGCCGACAAATCCAGACAGCGGCAAACCCTTCTGGTATCGTGTCCCTCCTGCGCCGACGACACCCGCCCAAAGGGCATTCAACCCCCCCAACCAGCCCCGGTTGCGGCCTAGCCCGATAGATAAGGAAGAGCAGGGAAAGAGGATGATAAGGTTTCGTGGGGCGGATGGTACTGTGCTTGCGAGGGATGTGAACGGAGGAGGTGATAATAATAAGAATGGAGAGGGGGATGTGAAGTTTGCGGAGCCGAGTTTTTTCGCAGAGAATGTGGTTCGACGGGAGGACCCGAGGGATGGGCTGACAGGGTTGTTTGAAGGGTCATTCAGATTAGAAGAGAAGGAGGAGAAGTCAGGGGGGTGGTTGAGGAGGATTGGGTGGGGGGGCGGGGAGAAGAGGGAGTAGGGAATGTTTTGTGCGGTTTTTGTATTGCTTATTTCTCGCGTGGTTCTGTCACTAACTCGTTCGGTTTGTGTTGTTGAAGGGATTGGATTCGGTTTGGGAAGATTGCATAGCCGGGCGGTCATTGGTAGAACTGCTGTTTATTCTTTGTTTTGGTGTGTATTATACTGTATCTGGAGACTTTGTTTTTCTATTAGTGGAGTTGGATCAGTGCATATTTTAGGTGTTGGGCTTGGTTTGGGCATATGGTAGTTTCGACATCAGTCCGAGACCGGGTATTAGAGTTATACATACTAGGTTCGAAAAAAAGTTCATAGATACAGATGGTACATTACAGCATCCAATACCAGCAGCCGCTCCGGGGAAGTGGCGAAAGACTAATGAAGAAACGGCGAGATGGTCAGAGGATAGGCAAGTCAAAGGCGGGGAAAGATTATCATCGCCAAGGACCGTCGACAATTCTGAAGTTGCTTGACGACAATCTGGACGGTTAGATGGGCATGCCAACAGCTTCAAATAGGTATATAGAATCACTCATCCCCAGAACCAAGATGAGGATTCCTCGATAAATAATGCAAACAGCGGAATACCAACAACCGCTGAGCACAATATGTCACCCATTCTGCTGACGAAAGGTCATCTGAGTTACGAGTTACTAACAAACAGCCTATACCGAAATCAAATCCCAGTGCAATTAGATTTTCATGTCTTTAAGAGATAGTTGGAATACTTCACAACAATCACGAGGAAACTTGTGACGATGCACCTATCCTTCCTGAAATGGGTTTGAGTTCGAATCTGGGGTTATCGATCTGAGAGGTAAGAGTTCTCACGGAGATTTTAGGGCACTGTGGTCATCAGTTGGGTATGCACAACTATTTGTATTGTTAACTTGAAAACTCTTGCCCCCCTTACCTGCTGCGAGGATCCTTCCTTGCTTCTTCCTTCTACCAAAGGTCTTTCAGCTGGTTGAACTTAACAAAAGCACGAGTATTCCAAGCACCTTGTGCATCTCGACACTCAAACACAGACCATCACAAGAGAATGCATCAAGCTCATTGAGGAAGCTCTTGGCTTCTCTGATCCCTCATCGGAACAGTCATCACAAGATGAAGCTATATCAAAGTCCAGATGGCTTCCGAGTGTACACCGTTTGAAGGAACTCAAGCAAAATGCACGAACAGACTAACAAAGGAAAGTGTCAAAACCATTGGAGGTGAACCAAAAGCTCAAGGACAAGACTTGACACATCGAAATGTTTATGACCGTGGGAGAACGGTACGTAGACATCATTAATGGCGGCTGTTCATGAATTTAAAAAAAGCATCACCGTCCTGTTAATTTATTAGCCTCAACATGTTTTTCGGCATTGTGCGATACGGCATGACAAGGAAGTTACCAAAAGAATGAAGGAAGTTAGAACCCTGGTTCGAGAAGACGGGAGCAGCTTCAACGTAGTCTCCAAACCTTGCAATATGGCCAGGGTGGCTTCCTGCAATGCATGAGGACACTGTCCAGCACATTGGAATCCCTCGAGTATGAAATGGAAGAGTTTAAGACGAAAATAGATCAGCTTACGTCTGCCGCGCAGCAGTCATTGGACGCCCTCAAGCACATGGAAAAGACAGTCGGCGATATGACTCTCAATGTTTCCCAAACGAACAAATACTTATCCTGTGCCTTCTCTTTGCAAGCCATGAGTCGGGCTAAAGGGGACGAAATAGTAGTCCAAAATTCATTGGGCAGAGAGCGACGAATCCCAATAGATATGCTTGACATTTTGAACTGAAATGTGAGCCATTATCCATTCTTATCAATGTCAGCCAGTTAACCCAAACAAACTGCTAATGATTTTTTTTGAACCTCAGCTTTTGTTCACCATTTTGGAGAACTATTTCCAAGGAAAGCCAGGCCAAGACATAATCAAAATCGTGAGTTTCTCTCCAAGAGGCTACCACTCGGACTGTCTTTCCTTTCGACAGACCTCTTAAAAGTTGTCTGAGGTTGGGAATCAGGCTCATCATAGGCATGAACTTTTTGACATTTAGAACCAAAAGGCTGGATGAATGTCAAGGTGTGGAGCCAGCCTTAAATTTCTGACAAAGACAGATGAACTTGGATGGTAAGACAATTCCCCCGAATATCGGGGCTCAGTTGGCTTGGGAGTCCTGACTTATTGCATATTGTGTGATAAAGATCATGCTAATACAATAACCGATAAAGTGAAACACGAGGATGCAGGATGCAAATATCCTACGAGAGGACTAGATGCATCATGATAGAGCCATATGGTCATGGATCTGTGTCAGGATTGATTGTTCCTGAAGCACAAGATATTCCTGCTGACTGCAGGAGATTCAACCAAAAAGCACTCTATTTCAAACGGATCCGTCTTCTAAGCCCAGCCATTTCCATGACAGGATATCTGCCAAATGAACAGGGCTCTTCTGGCAAGCCGAGTCGCAATCTGATCATTCGGGAGCCATGTAGCGGAAGCTACAACCACCACACGCAAGAGGCCATGGGATCAATTTATCGCAGGCCACTAGGACTTGTCATTGGCAATTCTCTCATGTCTTGGAGATACCTTCCATGCCTGCCCACTGTTGGAACATTTGATTTTGTCAGCTTTCAGGACTGCGACGATGGGCATATCACCATAATTCCTTTGGCTAAGCACAACCCACTGGGTGAAGATTCCACGAGTGTTGATAAAGGAGTACTCAAGACTTCCGAGGTAAGCATTAATGTGCACGGAAATATTCCAAGGGTGTGAGATTGACGCTGGCTGTTGTTAACATCACATGGAAAGTCTTCGATGCACATTCCTCTCGCTAAGCCTGACCTTGGCCTTTACGCACATGAATGATACCATACCAGATATGCGCTGGATGGTAGTGTAAGGATAGTGGCCTGGGTTGGTAGTCCTTTGGTCTTCGCTAGAGTGCGACTACTCTAAAGGATGGGAAAGAAGAAAGCACACCTGATGCAAACAGGAGGATGGACCACCGTGGACAAGCGGGGTGGATGAGCTTCTGATTGATAGGAGTAAACTGGATCGCTGGTCTACAGGTGGTACCCCCATGGGCCACTGCTTGTGGTCTGTATCGCTGCTGTCACTAATATGCATTTGACTCATTAGTTTTTTGTGGACTTGAGCATTGAACAGATTGTTTATTGGATACTCTTCCATTTTATCATAGTCTCCTCCCCCGAAAAAGATCTCAGTGAGAACGTCCTACCTCATCCCTTACTCATGTCTCTTATTCTTGCTTGTGCTCATCCCTCCTCCTCTTCAACCTCCTCACAAAACTGCACATGCATTGCACACAACACCCACTGCCCTCCAGCCCCCTGTCTCCACGTACTGCTTGCGCTTGCCACAACCTCCTTCACCTTCTCCTCCCCGCTCTTTTTCTTCTTTTCCTTTCCCTTCTCACCATTCCCTTCCCCCCTCGTCCCAACAACCCGATACAGCCCCACCTGATATACCACACAAATCCCCATCAGCCCGACCTCAACGACAGCGGGATTCCCATGAAATCGGAAGGCGACGTAACCCCCCTTGGAGACAACCCCGTCCTCCTGCATACGCTGCGCTTGCCGGGAGCGCCAGGCTTCTATTGCGCAGAGAATATCTTGTCCTTGCATGGGAGTTGAGGTGTGGGATGGATGGAGGATGGGGTTGATCATTATGCAGTCAGGGGCGATGTATTTTGTTACGGAGGTTGGATTTGAGCAAGATGAGGTGGTGGATTGCTGGGGTTCAGGTGAGAGGAGGGAGCGCCAAAAGTGAGTTTCCATTTCGAGCGCTGTGGCATGGTTGCGTTGAGAGATTGTGTTAAGACGGCGGGGCGATAAGTCTGTTGTGGGGTGAGTATTGCTAGCTGTGAGGGTTAGGTTGGGGGTGTTGGCTGTGAGGCTCAGAAGGGTGGGCATGATGCTCAGTGAGATGCACCAGATTCTTGTGGTGAAGGCCTTTGTACTGTTTGATCGAAACGAAATAGCTTTGAGTGCAATGAATTGTCTCCTGTTAAGCTCTCGGTCTAGCGCTCTGCTGCTTGTAGCCCTGGCGATGACAGGTTTGCTCTAAATATTACATGAAGCAAAAATCACAGCCAATGATGGCCAAGTAACAGAAAGTACGCAATGAGCTTCTGGTTCTCATAGGCTGGAGCCATCAACTATGACATCATTGACCTTCTACAACGTACTGATAAGCATAGTGATAAGGTGTAGGACCTGAAGCATGCATCATAAAAAAATCTCTTCTATGTTCAGTTCCTTCCTGCATGTAGTGTACACTCTGCTGAACTCTCTTGTTCAAATTTATCCTTTGGCGATAGCCCGGGCAGCTGGATGAACGAGCTCCCAGCGAACTCTGCAAAGGCTCGGTCCGGGCCGAAAGGCGAGGTCAATGACCCCGCCATCGCGGTGTGTTGGGCTCTCCGGGTTAAGGACATGTAGCTCCCTCGCGGCGATCCACGCCCTGACCATATCCCCCTTAGGATTGGGGCGTGCACGGGGGCTGAACAGACTATGATACTGATGAGCAAGATTGTTAGCCGCAAGTGACCACGGTGTGATCACCGTTGACCTACCTCAGTCAGCCCGGGCTCCACCGAGGTCGGGTGCACGCTTGACCTTATATAAGAGCCATGCTCATCCGCCTTCACGCATGTGTAGTTTAGAGGTAGAGCGTTGTTATTCTGCGGTACCCATTGTGCTTGATAGATTTCCTCAGGGCCGCGTGTTCGGCAGGGCAATGCCCAAGTAAATACTCCCATCCACATTCACCATTTTCTTTTACATCCAACAAAGATCTCCGTTGGAAGCATTTGGGGCTAGTGTCTCTATATCGATATCAATTCATAATGCATTGGGGATTAGTCCCTCTCTTAAGATGGAGAGAATATCTGGTGTAGATCTTTAGAGGCAGGTCATCTAAAACATGGAGGAGGAAGATTTGTTCCCAACTGCATAATGGACCATGGTTTCCAGCT